ATTAGAAGTTAATGACTTTCACGGTCTAATTCAAACGTCAGCCTCAGGCAGACTGTAACATTCATTATTTCAGCCCCCTCAGCAAGTGAATTCTGCCAGCTCAGACTCTTTGGGTATGTCTACACTGCCGCTAAGAGCAAACCTCACACACTCACCCTCGTGAGGCGCCCAGTAGTGCACTAAAAATAGCAATGTGGACATTCCAGCTCAGGCTGGAGCTTGGGCTGTCACGTCCACCCTACCCGCAAGGCTTGAGAGCCTGAGCACCAACCTGAGCCGGAACGTCCGCCCTGTTGTTTTTAGCATGCTAGCTCAAGCCCTGTCAGCACAAGTGTGTCTACTCAGTGTGGGAGACTTGCTCCCAGGTCAGTGTAGACGTACCCTTCTAGATTCACACCCACTTACCTATTTGGGATCAACCTCTTTCACATCGCTTTTGAATTAGGCCTACAGTCACTGCTGACCAAGTTGAATTTAAACTAGCAACCTAAAGAAGAAAGGCTCTGCTGTCCTATGACCGTTTCCCCTGAGCCATCAAATATCTATTTAGCTCCATTTCCACTATTAAATTCTTATGTCTATGTGTTTGGGGGTAGGTCTATTCTTGGTGTGCAGAAATATGCATAGATACCAGAGGCCTAGCCTGAACTTTATCTTTGGCACTCTACTTTGGCCGTTCATGATACATTTTGGGTTTGAGGACTAACTAATACTGGGTCTATTTTTCCTTTCTCCTGCACCTTTTCCAGAAATCATTTATTCCAGACACACACAGTACTGACTGCATAGTTGAAGGTGCAAGTCCATGTACAGACTGGAAAATGCAAGGAAATTCAAATTGAAATGAGATGGCTTTTTTACCTTGGTCTGGCACCAATTACAAAGAAATCTAAGATGCACAAGGATCTATGTTTCATGTACTTAATATCATAATGAAGCATAACATTGCAAAATAAAAAATTCCCTGGAACAATTTGTTGTATTTGTATACATGATGTACACAATTACATCATGTATACAATTACATCATGTAATGGCAGACAGCTATTAAGTGACAAGTTTTTAAAGTGCTTATATACCAATGATAGAAGTCTAAATAATAAGATGGGTGAACTAGAGTGCCCCGTATTAAATGAGGATATTGATATAATAGGCATCACAGAAACTTGGTGGAATGAGGATAATCAATGGGACACAGTAATACCAGTGGTCAAAAATATATTGGAAGGACAGACCAGGTCGTGCTGGTGGGGGAGTGGCACTATATGTGAAAGAAAGCGTAGAATCAAATGAAGTAAAAAATCTTAAATGAACCAAACTATACCACAGAATCTCTATGGATAGTAATTCCATGTTTGACTAATAAGAATATAGCAGTAAGGATATATTACCAACCACCTGACCAGGATTGTGATAGTGACTGAAATGCTGAGGGAGATTAGAGAGGCTATTGAAATAAAAAAACTCAACAATAATGGGGGATTTCAACTATCCCCATATTGACTGGATACATGTCACTTCAGGATGGGATGCAGAGATAAAGTATCTTGACACCTAAAATGACTGCTTCTTGAAGAAGCTAGTCCTGGAACCTACAAGAGGAGAGTGGGGCCACTAGACGATCGAGATGCTAAAGGAGCACTCAAAGATGATAAGGCCATTGCAGAGAAACTAAATGAATTCTTTGCATCGGTCTTCATGGATGAGGATGTGAGGGAGCCATTCTTTTTAGGTGACAAATCTGAGGAACTGTCCCAGATTGAGGTGTCATTAGAGGAGGTTTTAGAACAAATTGATAAACTAAACAGTAATAAGTCACCAGGACCAGATGGTATTCACCCAAGAGTTCTGAAGCAACTCAAATGTGAAATTGCAGAACTACTGACTGTAGTTTGTAACCTATCATTTAAATCAGCTTCTGTATCAAATGACTGGAGGATAGCTAATGTGACACCAATTTTTAAAAAGGGCTCCAGAAGTGATCCTGACTATTACAAAACTGACTTCAGTACCAGGCAAACTGGTTGAAACTATAGTAAAGAACAAAATTGTCAGACATATAGATGAACATAATTTGTTGGGGAAGAGTCAACATGTTTTTTGTAAAGGGAAATCATGCCTCACTAATCTACTAAAATTCTTTGAGGGGGGTCAACAAGCATGTGGACAAGGGGGATCCAGTGGATACAGTGTATTTAGATTTTCAAAAAGACTTTAACAAGGTCCCTCACGAAAGGCTCTTAAGCGAAGTAAGCTGTCATGGGATAAGAGGGAAGGTCCTCTCATGGATTGGTAACTGGTTAAAAGATAGGAAACAAAGGGTAGGAATAAAATGGTCAGTTTTTAGAATGGAGCGAGGTAAATAGTGGTGTTCCCCAGGGTCTGTACTGGGCCCAGTCCTATTCAACATATTCATAAATGATCTGGAAAAAGGGGTAAACAGTGAGGTGGCAACATTTGCAGATGATACAAAAAGATAGTTAAGTCCCAGGCAGATTGGGAACAGCTACAAAAGGATCTGGGTGCCTGGACAACAAAATGGCAGATGAAATTCAATGTTTATAAATGAAAAGTAATGCACATTGGAAAATATAATCCCAACTATACATATAAAATGTTGGGGTCTAAATTAGCTGTTATCACTCAACAAAGAGATCTTGGAGTCATTGTCGATAGTTCTCTGAAAACATCCACTCAATGTGCAGCGGCAGTCAAAAAAGCAAACAGAATGTTGGGAATCATTAAGAAAGGGATAGATAATTAGTCAGAAAATATCATATTGTCTCTCTATAAATCCATGGTATGCCCTCATCTTGAATATTGTGTGCAGATGTGGTTGCTCCATCTCAAAAATATATATATTGGAATTGGAAAAGGTTCAGAAATGGGCAACAAAAATGATTAGGGGTATGGAACAGCTGCCATATGAAGAGAGATTAATAAGATTGGGACTTTTCAGCTTGGAAAAGAGACGACTAAGGGGGATATGATAGAGGTCTATAAAATCATGACTGGTGTGGAGAAAGTAAATAAGGAAGTTGTGACAGGGTTGGGCCAGATGGCTATAGGAGAGTAATAGAAGGCAGATATATTAGCCCCAGGCTAAGTAGGTCCCTTTTCCCTGGGTAAGGTAACAGGGAAGGTTCCAGAACAATCAGGAACCTTCTGGAGAGAATTAAGACAGGCTGATTAGAACACCTGCAGCCAATCAAGAGGCTGCTAGAATCAATTAAGACAGGCTAATCAGGGCACCTCACTTCAGTTTGTGGTGTGCATGTAAGGAGCTGGGAGCAAGAGGTGCTAGGAGCTGAGAGTGAGAACACAGACTGTTGGAGGACTGAGGTGTACAGGCATTATCAGACACCAGGAGGAAGGTCCTATGGTGAGGATAAAGAAGGTGTTGGGAGGAGGCCCTGGGGAAGTAGCCCAGGGAGTTATAACTGTCGCACAGCTGTTCCAGGAGGCACTCTAGACAGTTGTATTCTACAGGGCCCTGGGCTGGAACCCGGAGTAGAGGGCAGGTCCAGGTTCCCCCCAAATCCTCCCAACTCCTGGTCAGACACAGGAGGAGTCGACCTGGACTGTGAATTCAGAAAAACAGCCAAGCTGAGGGCTGCTGTGAAGCTCCAAGGCAAGCAAATCTGCCAATAAACGCAAGACCCATCAAGGTAGAGGAGGAACTTTGTCAAAAAGTGTTATTTACTCCTTCTCAAAACACTAAAACTAGGGGTCACCAAATAAAATGAATAGGCAGCACATTTAAAATAAACAAAAGGAAGTATTTTTTCACACAACACCCAGTCAACCTTTGGAACTCCTTGCCAGAGGATGTTGTGAAGGCCAAGACTATAATAGCGTTCAAAAAGAACTAGATAAGTTCATGAAGGAAGGATGGCTTTTACCCAGGATGGATAGGGATGGTGTCCCTAGCCTCTGTTTGCCAGAAACTGGAAATGGGCAACAGGGGATGGATCACTTATTGATTACCTGTTCTGTTCATTCCCTCTGGGTCACCTGGCACTGGCCACTGTAGGAAGACAGGATGCTGGGCTAGATGGACCTTTGGTCTGACACACTAGGGCCGTTCTTATGTTCCAAGAGATGATACAAGCAGGCTGCAGATTCTTAAGGGGAAAGCAGCTCTTGTTTACAGCTTGGAATCCCCACGTGTTCCATTCACAGGCTAAAAATCCCTTTAGCCTGGCTCCAGGAGTTCCCCTAGTTCAGTCTTTGTTCCTTAGGTGTTTCCAGGAGTCCTCTTGGGTGGGAAGTCAGTGAACAACCAAGATGATGCCACTCCCCTTCCTTACATAGCTTTTGCATATGGCGGGAACCCTTTGTTTCAAAGTTTGGTTTCCACGCAAGTCAACGGAAAAATAGATATCCCAAGATGAAGTCCAGCACCAGGTGACCTGTCCCTGTAGTGTCACAGCAGCCATTACTCAGAGGCTGTCTGTAGCATCCTCAGGAACGCTCCCCAGGCAGGAGATAAGCTTCTCCTAAGGCTCGTTATTTCTTCCTACTGGCTCATTAACCTGAATGGGCCCTTCCCAGCCAGCCACCTAGACTAAAAGCATTTTGCCTAGTGGGCATTGCTCAGGTTAAACTACATTTTGAAATACAGATACATCGTCAATATTCATAACTTTGGATACAAAAATGATATGTTATTACAAATAGGATGATCATATTCAGCAAACCATAACCTATCCAATGATACCTCACATGACTTATCTTGCATAAGATACATCATAACTATGTCATAATCATATCATAATACTATCACTGTGAAGAATATGTAATTTAACTGCCTGAGCTATACACTTTGACTATTTGCTATTTGTGTTGTGGGATTGGTCACTTTTATATCACATTTTTCTGCTCCCTGGTTGGATTACCGAAATTTTGAATGGCTGAAATTGGGAAAATAATAAATAATGAATAGCAAAGAGAAAATTATCTTGCTCATGCATGAATAATCTTTCTGTATTTAAATACAGGTATTCATATGAAGAGCAACCATTCCCCCCAAATATGCAAATTAAAGGGGCATGGCCAAGTAAGTAGCCATTTAGCATTCAAATAAATGTTAATGAACACTGGTTTTGCAACATTTAACCAGTTCTAGATTTTAGCCCTTCTTTGGGGCCATGAGTTCATTGAGTAGTGCATCCAGTGCCACACCCAAGTCTGACTGATTTGTGATTGCATGGGGTCCAAGAAGTTGTCAATGAACTGTTGTTGTTGGAGTTTGTTCACTGCATCTTTCTCCATGACTTTGCCCAGATCGGGAAATATGGCAATGGGATTATTTAGAGAGATCATTTGGTGTCTAATGAGGACCAAGGAGGCTGGTAAGTTTGCTTCTAATATTGTGTCCTCTGGGCTATGGAGGCTGACCTGGACTCAGGTAATTTTTTCAGTGAACTAAGCTAAGAGCTCTTTTTCACAGCAGAAGACACTAGGGTCTGGACTGATTAGATAGGTCACTTTACAGAATAGTTCTGCTGCTTTTCATTTAATAACTTCTATGACACAGTTTCAAAGTTACTTTAGTAATATATTTTAAATTATTATTTTAGGATATCATGCTAGAAACGATGCCCTCTGTAACTTTATTTGTATCCTTTTAGGGCAGAACGAGCGATAGGTTTTGGAGGCTTTACTTTCTGATTCTTCCTAACATGTATACACCTGCTGTGAACCTGATGGGTTTTACACTCTGACTTGAGTCTGATCAAAGTTGACATGTATACATCTGTGAGGACTGGGAAGTGTGTCCTCGATGTTTCACTCTAAGCTCTCAAAAATGATCTCCCTAAATAATTTTATATTCGTGAATCTGAACACAGCATTTCAGAAAGATATGCTGAGTCAGGTTATAGGAGAGGAAAGGTGTCTCTCTGTGCCTTCATTCCCAGTCTGTAAAATGGGGTATAGTACTACTTCCTTTCTTTGTCCTGTTTCTTTTGATTTTAAGCCTTTTGGGGCAGGAGCTGTTTCTAACTATGTGTATGTACTGTGCCCAGGGCCGGTGTAACCACTAGGCAAACTAGGTGGCCACCTAGGGCGCCAAGATTTGGGGGTGCCAAAAAGCGAGCCCGGAGGCAGTGGGGCTTGGCGAGAAAACGGGCGGCTGCCTCGGCTCAGCCTCCACACTCAGCCCCAGCGGGGGGCACGGAGAGCGTGTTCACCCCCCCCCCCCCGAGAACAAAAGAGCCTCGCGTGGCAGCCTGGCAGAGGAAGAGGATGCTGGTGTGTTGGCCAAGGTAAGCGCTTCCCCACAGATCGGGCGCCTGCTGGTCCGTGCTCCCCTCGTGTGCGGGCTGCTGGAGAGGACAGCAGCCTGCAGAGCTGAGCTGCCTTGGTGCCCCTCTCCCTGGCCCCAGCCTCTGTCAGCGGGGGAACTCTGTCAGTGGTCGGAGCTGCCCTGGGCTGGGGCTTTCTGCAAACCGGGACCCAAGCAGGGAGAGAGGGACAAAGCCAGAGAGACACTGTGCCCCAAAGAGAGATCAGGGCTAAAGGGAAATGCAGAGCTGCACTAATGGCTTCAAATGCAAATAGCGATTGATTGGCTCCAACTATGTGGTATTGGAGAGGAATAAGAGTGTAGGGCAAGCAGGGACCTGCAGTACTTCCCAGCTGAGTCTCTCCATCCACCTCAGGATGGTGCTGCCAAGACTGACAGTGTGAATACAGACACATTGAATTTGGTTGTTAATGATGCTGCAAAGTGTTTCTTGGAGGCAACAGCCTTCTTTGATTTAGTTCAACGTGTTTATGTGTATTTCTCAGCTTCTACACGTCGCTGGGAAGTTCTAACACACCACATATTTAATCTCACAGTTAAACCATTGAGTGAAACTAGATGGGAAAGTCAAATTGATGCCTTGAAACCTCTTCACTATCAGCTTGGTGACATCTATGATGCTCTGATAGAGATCTATGATGATACTACTCTAACAGGATCATCTGGCAGTACGTCACGAGTTGATGCAAAAGATCTTGCAAAAGCCATTTCTAGTTTCAAGTTTCTTATTTCTCTTGTTGTGTGATATGACATATTGTTTGAGATCAACATGATTAGCAAACAACTTCAGGCGAAAGAATTTGACATACGTGACGCCGTTAATCAACTTGGAGAAACCAAGAAGTTTCTTGTGGGCCACAGAAGTGATGCAGACTTTGAGCAAACATTGGTAGATGCAGGTGAACTTGCAGAGGAGTTGGATGTACCATCACTTTTTGAACCAGATCCAATCCGTATTAGAAAAAAGAGGAAGCAGTTCACATGTGAAGCAGATGATGAGCCTGTTTATAATCCAAAAGAAAAATTCAAAGTGAACTTTTACTTTGCAGTCATCAACACAGCAATACATTCGGTTGAAGAAAGATTCATATTGATGCAACAAATTAGTTCAGTATTTGGCTTCCTATATGATGTTTACAGTTTGCAAAATACAACACCAAAGCAAATTATGGAACACTGCTTGAATCTGGAGCAAGCTTTGCAACATGGTGAATCCAAAGATATTGATGCCTTTGACTTGTGCAATGAATTGCAAGCTATTGCAAGACGAGTCCAAAAGAGTGCATCACCGCAAGATGGTTTGAACTTCATATGGAAAAATAAGCTGACAAATAGTGTCCCCAACACAGTTATTGCTCTTCGCATCCTCTTGACTCTCCCAGTTTCTGTGGCCAGTGGTGAGCGAAGCTTCTCGAAGCTCAAGTTGATAAAAACATACGTGCGAACATCAGTGTTGCAACAAAGACTTGTTGGGCTATCTACCTTGTCAACAGAACATGACATTGCTTGCAGCATTGACTTAGAGGAACTTGTTTCTAAATTTGCTGAACTGAAAGCATGGAAAAATAAATTCTAAATTATAACGTGTTACTCCGTGACAGTGTATTGTGTATAATGTATGTGATTTATTTTAAGATCCATGGTATGTCGTGCAAAGTGAAAACAATAACAATGTCAACACTTTTCAGAGTAGCAGCCGTGTTAGTCTGTATTCGCAAAAAGAAAAGGAGTACTTGTGGCACCTTAGAGACTAACCAATTTATTTGAGCATAAGCTTTCGTGAGCTACAACTCATCCTACAGTTGCATCCAATGAAGTGAGCTGTAGCTCACGAAAGCTTATGCTCAAATAAATTGGTTAGTCTCTAAGGTGCCACAAGTACTCCTTTTCTTCATGGAGGAGAGTATCACACTGACAGCCAACCCCTTGTCCGGCATCAGAATTCGTCTCGTGGACCATCTCAGCAGGAATTTTTCCCTGAACCACAAGTGGTCTCTGAACACACATGTCCTCTAAGTCATCGTTGCAGTGTGGAGCATTCCAGCAATTGACCTGTTTGCCACAAGGGACATCTGCTCTGCTCTGGTCTCAAGGGTGGTCTCAGTCCAGGCTCACTGTCTGACACTTTCCATTTCAGCTGACAGTTGGCTTTCCTTTACGTTTCCCCCGCTCATCCCATGGGCCATCTTCAAGCTGCAGGACAAGCTCATTGTCATTGCCCTGGCATGGCGAAGGCTGCACTGGTTCCCTGACCTTAAGCTGTCAATTCAGCAGATACTAGCTTCTATAGAGTACATGCTGCACCATCAGTTGTTGGGACTTGTGCTTAGCTCAGTGAGAGTGCATCTGGCAGTGATATCAGTGTTTCATTCCCCACCCCACCCCCATTTAGAGAAGGTCAGGCTTCTTTAGTATCATGGTAGCAAGATTGTTAAAAGGTTTGCCTCCATCCTCCAGTCCATGAGCTGGTTCTTCTGTGGGGCCTTAAGATGGTCCTAGCAACTTTAATGGGACCTGTTTGAACTCTTGGCCTTTCCACTTTTGTGCCGAAACTGCCTTCCTGATAGCAGTAACATCTGCAGGAAGTGTGAGAGACTTGCAGGCAATGAGCTCACCTCCTTTTACACAGGTTTCAGAGTAGCAGCCATGTTAGCCTGTATCCGCAAAAAAGAAAAGGAGGACTTGTGGCACCTTAGAGACTAACCAATTTATTTGAGCATGAGCTTTCGTGAGCTACAGCTCACTTCATCGGAGGCAATGTCAACACTGTCGGGTTATTCATTTATTTTCATTAAATATGTAGACTAAATAATGAAATTAATAAATTTTCAAGCCGAATGTGTATTAATTCTAGTGAACAGTGCCACATTATGCAGTATTCATTTTTGAAAGTTTATAATAAGCGATGCTCCGTGGGGGAGGGGGTGGCGCAAGGTGGAAGTTTCGCCTAGAGCACAAAATTTCCTTGCACTGGCCCTGACTGTGTCTGGAATAATAGGACTCTGATTGCAGTTGGGATCTCTAGGAACTACTCTAATGCTAATGCTAATCGTGAATTGCAATAATTTTCAGAAGAACTGAGCAGTTGTTGCTCCCATTAACTCATTTAGCGCTTCGGGTGCTCATGAGCTCTGAAAATCAGGCATTGCTCTGAAAGCAAAGCTGGTACATAGGTGCATACCGGTAGTATTAGATATTATTTTTACAATATACTTATTTATATACAATATAGCTTATTTTTATAATATACTGCCAGGCAATAGTGAATTGGGCCCCACGCATTATTGTACCTTATGTAGGGTCACCAGCCCACATCCAGGAGCTGTAAAATGCTATTGCTAAGTCATATTATTTTCCATTCCAGTTGTTATAGTTCCCTGAAATCCTATAACAGCATTGTTACTAGAGGCTCAATGGCCAGCGCAAAGAAGAAGAAAATGAAACACAACCAAATCAAACAAAAGAAGAGATGGAATAGGATGCATCTTGCATTCTTAAATAAACTCAGAGCCTGATTTTGGAATCTTTTCAGGGTATTGCCAAAATAAAAAAACTACATTTCACTTTGTCAGAGGCTTTTTGGGGTCAAGCAAGAGGAAGAATAGTTTTGTACTGAGGTCTGAGATTTGTCTGACAACATTAAGGCCTCATTTTAGTTTATTTGGAACCGTCTACTTTGTTACAGGGCTTGCTGGATCCAGGTGTCCTGGGTAACTTATTTCAGAAAGTCTGTTTTCAAAGTCTCCTAGTCAGAAAGCTATTGCCTATATCCAAAATGGAGGTAGGTCTGTAGGGGCATATGGATCAAGTTCTGGTTCTTTTTTAGGAAGGACTGTAATAGTGTGTCCCCCCAGTTGCTCAAAGTACTTTCTTTCGCAGTTTATGGGAGATCAGTTTAAATTGTGATGCACCAATCTGCGGCAGAACAAGTTTTCTAAAATTTAAATTCATAGCCTTCCAGGATTGAAGTTTCATTTATTTTAATTATTTGATTTTGCTCTTGTCATAAATATAAAGGGAAGGGTAAACGTCTTTAAAATCCCTCCTGGCAAATCCTCTCACCTGTAAAGGGTTAAGAAGCTAAAGGTAACCTCGCTGGCACCTGACCAAAATGACCAATGAGGAGACAAGATACTTTCAAAAGCTGGGAGAAGGGAGAGAAACAAAGGGTCTGTGTCTGTCTATATGCTGCTTTTGCCGGGGATAGAACAGGAATGGAATCTTAGAACTTTAGTAAGTAATCTAGCTAGGTATGTGTTAGATTATGATTTCTTTAAATGGTTGAGAAAAGAATTGTGCTGAATAGAATGACTATTTCTGTCTGTGTGTCTGTTTTGTAACTTAAGGTTTTGCCTAGAGGGATTCTCTATGTTTTTAATCTAATTACCCTGTAAGGTATCTACCATCCTGATTTTACAGAGATGATTCCTTTATTTCTATTTACTTCTATTTCTATTAAAAGTCTTCTTGTAAGAAAACTGAATGCTTTTTCATTGTTCTCAGATCCAAGGGTTTGGATCTGTGGTCACCTATGCAAATTGGTGAGGATTTTTACCAAACCTTTCCCAGGAAGTGGGGTGCAAGGGTTGGGAGGATTTTGGGGGGAAAGACGTGTCCAAACTATGTTTCCCAGTAAACCCAGTTAGAGTTTGGTGGTGGCAGTGGATATTCCAAGGACAAAGGATAAAATTAATTTGTACCTTGGGGAAGTTTTAACCTAAGCTGGTAAAAGTAAGCTTAGGAGGTTTTCATGCAGGTCCCCACATCTGTACCCTAGAGTTCAGAGTGGGGGAGGAACCTTGACAGCTCTCAAATCCCTTAACTACCAAGGACCTGACCAAGCCCTCTGATTAGTATTTTATAAGCTTTGTGAGCATGGCCACCACCAAGAGTTATTGCATTTGGTAATATTATTGCAGGGGTTCTTGCTTGCTACACAGAGCTATGCAATATTGGCCAAAAACATCTATTATCTCTTTTGCTTTCTGAGTCAAATAGTTATTTTGTGGCTTTATAATTTTTGTTACTTTCCTAACAATCTGCTGATACCTTAACTCAAATGGCAAAAACCTACAGGTTTGCTTTCCATGTTTGTGTTAGTTTTACCTATACTACTTAGCTAACTGTTTGCTCAAAAGATTATGTCGTTCTTTCCTATAGTTCTTTACTTTTCTGAACGTCCTTGTTGATAAACTGATTCTTGAGTTTGCATCTAAATCCTTATTTTTTTCTATTTAACATGTCATATTGTTCACGCCATAGAATTTTCCATACTGAAGCAAATAGAAGAATTCTGTCCCAAGACAACAACAATCGCCTAAGACTCTGCTCTAGATCTCAGTGGCTGTGCCACCAATAGAAACTGTCAGTTCCTTTCAAGAATTCAATGTGTAGGCACTGGAGCCTAACACAAATACAGCTGTAATTCTTCTTTAATAGGTATATGGGTACGTGTAGAGGGGGAGGAAGAGAGAGCTGGAGACCAAAGGGGTTTACAGTATTAACTGGGGGGCAGAGGTAACTGGGAAAGAACTGGAGTGGGAGTCTGGAAGTCAGTCATCAGAAAAGAGGGATGGAAGTACAAGTGAAGGGGGAAAAGGCTGTGTGGGCCTGGACTGGGGACGTTCATAGGTTCAGGTAGTATCTGAACTGAACTTTTGAGCCTTTGGGGTTTGCCCACCCCTAGTCACAATCCAGTTTGTAACATCACTGACTGTTGCCATGGAAAGTAACATGATACCACAAATGCCGCATTCTGACTTCTCTGAGGGATCAAGTAGGAAGAGTTGGGAAGAGACAGAGTCTTGTTTAAACTCAAATATCTTCAATTAATTAGGAAACATAGCAAGATAAATGATGAAAACCACGAGAAAGGTAAATGACTTTTTGATTTATATCTAATATGTTTGAAAGTTTCTTTAACATGAAAGTCTCTTTTGAACTCACTTTTGACTCTACAGCAGTGCTTATTCATGGGGAACAAGGGCCTCAGACCACAGTGGAATTTAGTGGGCGGGGGGAGGGGGAGGTTGTTTTTTAAACCAAGCTCAACAAATTGCTTAAGAGTTTAGGGGGCTCAGGTGTATTTCACATCTCTCAGGTATTTAAAAATACTTCACTGCATGTATGTCATTTAGATTGTTTATTGATTAAAATGCCACACCAACGAATGTCCATCCAAGAGCTCTAGGTGCCCTTATCATAAACTTAAAAGCACAATTAAAAAAAAGAGATAAGTGAAACCATGCCGTTCCCAATGCCTCTTCTCTTTCCCATCCCTTCCCTCTTGGATTTGACATTAAAATAGTTGCATTGTAAACAAAGTGTTTCCAAACAAATATGTTGCGGTAGTCATGACAATGTCAGCGCCAGCTGGCGCTTCACCCTTAATGTTAATAAATATCATTGCTTTGGTAGGGTCAAATCAGCATCCTGATCCAGCATGGAATTCACAGCAGTCAAACCACAGAAGCTAATGGAGCTACTTCTGTAAACAAGGACTGCTAGGTCAGCCCCCAAATATTCGTGTAAAAATCAAGATATCCAGTGTTAAAAAGAAAACACAAAAATTATTTCTATATTGTGTACCACCTGCTTGTAATTTAATAAATCACCACAATTATTGTTTTCATATAAAAGTAGGAGTCCAGTTCTCAAATATCACATTAACAGTTAAGTATTTGACTAACAGACTCTTTGTTATACAATTACTATATCAATAGCTTGTCATTTATAAAAATGTTAATCCTTTTATCCCTTAGTAATTATTGTTTAATCCAGATCTTGCAATATTCCTATGGGTCAGCTTCATTAAGTCAATAAAGCAAGGGTGAATTTCTTCTTTCTAAATACTCACTATCTAGTATGTTAATCAACCATAACTGACTTCCAAATGCTGGGTCAAATCATGTTTGTCTTACTCACCTGAATAGCTCCGTTGACATGGTGTCACTCCTCTTATGAATAGAGACAGCAAAATTAGCCTGTTGCGTGTCATACTTTTGTTGTTTTCAATCTATTGGTTTCTTTTCTTGTCATTTTGTTTAAAATTTGGTATCATGGGAATGTCAATTGTCCATTTAAAGAAAAGTCTATCATAGAGGCTGTGTAGTATAGTGAGTAGGGTACTGGACTGGGAGTTAGGAGAACTGGGCGCTATTCCCTGATCTACTACTGCTGTGTGTCCTTGGGCATGTCACTTACACACTGTTTCCTCTCCTACCCTTTGTCTGTCTTGCCTATTTAGATTGTAAGCTATTCTGTACAGGGACTGCCTCTTACCCATGTGTTAGGCATAGTGATTAACATCTCTGTTGCGGCCTCTAGATGCTGCTGTAATACACATAATCAATCAGAAAAGGAGTACTTGTGGCACCTTAGAGACTAACCAATTTATTTGAGCATGAGCTTTCGTGAGCTACAGCTCACTTCATCGGATGCATCAAAGCTCATGCTCAAATAAATTGGTTAGTCTCTAAGGTGCCACAAGTCCTCCTTTTCTTTTTGCGGATACAGACTAGCATGGCTGCTACTCTGAAACCTGACATAATCAATCATAACGCATGTCAAATTTCCTCCACCAAGGGGATTGCCATTTTTGTGAAAAACATGCTCCAAGCTATACAAAACTACTTTACCTCGGGTTAAACATAACCAAAGCTTTAGGCTTGTGTTATGGATTATACAGAATATTTTAATTCTGTGAACGAACTTGAATGTTAAAAGGGAAATGGCTCTGTAGTAGTAAAGAGATTTACCGCAACTCCAGAAATGTTCACCCTCAAAGGGTCACTGAGGCTGTTGTTCACACCTCCTTCACAGGATGGACTTACCATATGGACCTGACCTTGCAGTCCTTACGCAGGCCAAACTCCCACTGAAGAACTGAGTGGTCAGACCACACCTCTCATTCCAAGGACTAAGTCACTTAAATATTTAATATATTTAAATTAACAAGGAAATAGGAAGTTGCAGTCTTGACAGTCTGTTGCCCAGTTCTGCATTCTCTGCACACCCAAAAGTACTTTAAGTTCAATGGGAGCTTGGGGCAGAGAAGGAGGCAAGCCCCTGATCGTTTAGGCCAGGACGTGGTTCTATTTTCCTACCTCTGTCACAATTCACTGCCATTGCCATAACTGTGAGTTTAAATACATGTGATATCAGTGGGAGTAACTCTTATTTTGAAGGGGGGAAAATCAGACCCAGGGAATGTAACCCACTATTTCAGCGTCTGACCAAATAAGAGACTTCAAAGCTGAAAGCTACTCTGCGTCTCTCTCACTAACAATTTGAAGTGTTGTTGTTTAATTTAAAAAGAATGCGTGTCAAAAAAAGGACTCCTTTTGAAGCGCTTTTGACAATCTCCGGCTTTGCCACACATTCAGCTCGTGAGCTGCAGCCCCCATGTCCTACTGCACCTCATCTGACCTGGCCTCCTGCTGGGAAGTTCCACTAAAACAAGTGCTCTCCCCTGAGCCCATCTGTAGTTATGGAGATATTGAAACAATGGCAGACATTTCTTACAACCCTTTAGAAAATGCAGTGGTAATTACACAGGCTTATTTAGTAAGGGCTACATGACCCCTCCTACAAAGGAGAATCACATTGAGGAGGGGGACTTGCCAGGGCTTTAAAAAGTGCTGTTGGCACCACCTGGAGCGTTCTCCTGCCAGTATATTGTGATTCACTGTGGTGAAGGGTGGGGTCATGACCTGCCTTCCTTTTATCTGGACACACCCCTCTGGTGCTGTGAGAACTGTAGGCATCCCCTCCATCCCTGCCCCTCTACACTCCATCACCTGCAGGTAAATTACAGCTGCTTGCGGGGGTGGAGGGGGAGGGAAAGAGAGTTATTGGAAGGGAGGGACTCCCCTTTAGGGCTTTCTCACAGACAGCTGTAATCTGGCCCTCAAAATCTAGCTAAGATTTTGTAACTAACCCGCAGTGATGCCAGCTCTCATGATTTTGTCATGAGTCTCATGGTAATTGTTGTTGTCCTTAAAGTCCCAGCTCCTGGAGTCAAGTGGAGATGTGATGATTTCTGTGGAGGAAGCTGTGGAGGAAGCTTCGAAATATGACCCCAGTGCATCCTAAAGGCTTAAAAAGCAGAAGGCAAATAGAAATCCATTATTTTTACATAATCTAATGATTTTAAAGCCAATCTCATGATTTTTGGCGCATCTGACACACGATTTTTGAACATCTGGGGTTGGCAATACCGGCTCGTTTTGCTTTAAGGTGGTTTTTTTTTAAGATATTTTAATGCAACGTGTAGCCATTCAATTTTCAGTGTTCTTAAGCTTGCTTCCACTTTTAAGCCTCAAGTAGACACACTTTTGCGGTTTTACAAACGATAAAAAATTCACATCAGAATTAAGCATATTTATTAAACACACCGGGGGGGCCTCTGAAAAAATGTTATTCAATTTAATTGTTTTTAATTTACATTGTATATGTACAAGAGCATTTCTTTCAACCCACAGCTTAACAAAAAAACCAAAAACCCCACACTGCTGTTAGAAGAGCAGAGAAACTTTTGAAATACTCCGTTGTCTGAAATAAAAGCAAGGCACTCTCCTTTAACAGCTGATATATTCCTGAATTCAGCCTGCAAAAAGGCATGTTCACACTGAGAGAACTTGAATAAAAGTAGCAGGCTAATCTTCTTTAATTCTTTCTTTTGCTCTCGTGTTCCGTCACAGATCATACTGCACACATCCATTCGGTGAATTTAAATAAATGTGAAGGATATTCCACAGATTACATGATGTTGGAGAGTATCACAGTAAAGAACGGCTATGGAAAACTGAAGCACATTGGCGACTTGACACAGGGCCCTGGACCTGCTACCATCAAAACCATGCTTCCTAATAAACGTATCTTGTTCCAAGAAAAATTATGCTGATTTGTGTGAAAGTACTTTTCAAGGGACCAGTCCCATGAAGCACTGAAAGTCCTCAGCATGGAACTGAGGGTGCTCAGCAGCTTTCAGGATTTGTCCTGAAATAAAGATGATTTCTCAAGGGACCTTGGCCCAGATCCTCAGAGGTGTTTAGGCCTTTTGTTTTACACAAAGGGACAGAAGTAAACACACTTTTGGATGTCTAGTGTGTGTGTGCACGTTTGTATATACAAATTATACACAAAATTTCAAATTCAGGTCAAAATACATTTGTCTTGCAGATCAGGCATCTGACACCAACCTACAAGAAATGTTAGCTTCTCTGATATTTAATTATACTATTATGTTTGCACATAAGCTTACAAGTCAATACTAAAAGCAAAACGTTTCCAAATATTCAGGTAAACTGGAAATCTTGACTATAATGATTAGAAGTCTGTTTTCCTATTGATACTACTAGAAATCTTGATATAAGAATAATTTTCATAAAAGCACATCCAAACATAATAAGTGATAAAATACCAGATGACTACTTGAAAAGAATACAATGACTTGATATCTGGGTTATCTGTTGCAGCAATTAGGCAATTCATTTGGCATCTCTTTGATAGTATAATTTAATTTCCATATAAACAGCATAGTTTAAAAAAGGACAAAAAGCTAGAACGTTTAAAGCGAACAAAAGATACAGTGACATCAGGTTGACATTCAAAAAAATTTTCTTAGCAAAATGACCAACAAAATTTTGACTTAATACAGTGCATATAAAGTTTTTTAGAACTAAAATCTTTAAATATTATTTGAATTTAGCAAAACATGAGAAAGATTTTAATATCAAAGTGCTAAACAGTACTGCCTTAAAAGTCACTGCAAATAAACTGTAAAATAATTTTGCTTGTGAAGTGACAGATATTTTATATACAAATGGTTAATAAAAAGACACACACACATATATACACACACACACGCACACACACATATATATGTATGTATATGTATATGCATATATATATATGTATGTATGTATATATATATAGTTCTCTAACTGGTGTATCTGAGTCAGTGTGAACACCCCATTTAGTTACTTTGTGTAACACGGCTCCCATGAGCTGGCAGTCATTGCAATAAATACAGGCAAAGCCATTACAATATACCATGCATACAAACGTTTATACAAATAAAGACACTATGCAACAAATTATTTCATATTAATATGGCATCAACAATATAAACATACAAAAAAGGAGTACGAACACGGAATGTTTAAATGCAGCCCACTATAGCCTTCCTAGCTCTTACATTCAGACTATTTTACAAGACTTGCTTGTTCTTCAGAACCGTCTTGTGTCTGTTTACTAACTTGTTACCTAGATTAAATCTAAAACTTAACTATCCCTGATGCTGACCCTGTGCGTTCCAATCACTACTTACTTTTACTTCCTTATCTAAGGAACAAGTGCTCAGCTGAACCACAAATTGTCCCTGTGTCTTCCACATACATTTGTCAGTAAGTCACACTACATGGATTCAAGTTTGGGAAACTTTGTCATGTAAGTTAGTGCATGTAATCTTCTCACTTGATTTCTTCGATTTTATTTTCATAGTAAAATAAATTAGTTAATAAACAAGACTTAGTAAGACAGCACTTTAAAAAATTGCACTTGAACATGGGAGCTAACAGCCATTGTCATTTTGCTATATCTGATTTATACGAAATATTCAGTTGAATGTACTTTGTTAAAAAAAGTGAACTTTTGTTTACTTTGTGCCAAGATGTGTGCCCTTGATACAGGAAGTATGCTAAAGGTATCATCACAAAACACATACTACCCTGGCAAACAACTATTTGTTGTTCTTGTTTTCAAACACAGCTTCTACATTTGTATTCTCCATATATGACGAGGTGTTACACAATAGATTTAAAACAGTCTTGTTAACCTTTTACTGCTGAGATAGCATTGTCCAAAAGTGCCTTATTAGCAATTTGTAAAAAAACCCAAATCACACAAAAAATAAACAAAAACAAGAACACAACCCCCAAATAGTAAGTCGTTAAATTTTAGGCCTTAGTTTGTAAGGAAAAAGCGCCTGAAAAGTCCTCATTTTAGGGCTGGAGTTGCTTTTCTGTTATGTAAGCGCAGAAATGTTAGCAGTAAGTCACAATCCATTTGCCTGCTCTGGTGGGCATTAGACTTTCATGAGGGTAATTTGAGACTCAGAAAGGTAGGGTATCCAGAAACAACTTGTCAATAATGGAAGGGGGTGGCACCAAATCTTCCAGTTTCAGGTAAAAGATGCGCTGCAGTCCCAGTGTGCAGAGAGAACGCAAGTCAGCAAGAACACCCAGTACCTTAGGCTCTGCAGACTCAAGTGGCTGTCCTTTGTTTTGGCAGCTGAAAGCTAAGTGATCTTTTAAGCTGCTAGTGATCTTGTTGCATAGCTCTTCCACTTTCTTTGGTTCTTTTAATCCATGTCGTTCTGCAAAAGGATGGCAAGAGAACAGCCAAATCAATGTCATTATGAGAATAAATCTGCTCCTTACTCCAGGGTAATCAACCTATAACTAGGTAATACTGTAACAGACAAAACAAAGACCTTTGAAAGTATATAATAATATATTAGAATAGTGATGCCATATAATATTGACTGACCTTGTTTCATGTAATAAGAAGATATAATAATTGCCCTTTCTTGTTAGCAACCAAAATATTTAAATGGTGGCTTTCAACTATAATTTAAATTATAATTAATATAAGAAACCTGAGCTATCTACATAGTTACCTATGTTTTTAATTATATAAAGCATCAGTTAATTGGACAATTTTATGGCAAAATGATCACAGGAGGTGTTTTGGAGATTTCCTTGCCTCCCTACCAGTTGTGAATGCTCAATAACTATGGCAACCATTATTTATTCAGTGAATTCAAGTGGAGATCAATATCCACTGCCAGCTCCATCAGCACTAGGCCTGGAATTCCACTAGGAATTTACAGACACTCTTGCAAGAAACCAAAGGCACCTCAACCATTCTTTTTTATTTTGATAATCTACAGCTTTTATTTATCACTAAAAAGTCTGAGATAAAGGAACTCTGGAAGTCAACTATTTCCACCTTCGAGCAAGCAATGCATAAAGTAAAAGAGCTACTGTGTTACCCAGCTACTGTGCTACCCATCATGAAAAACTTCTGAAATTCCTAAAACCAAACCAATGGCTTCTAGCTAAGGTGTTTTTCCCGCACCCTCCCCTATTTATGTTCTGTTAAAATGCTGCAGTGAAGTTACACATCCTCAGTTCATTAAGCTTGAGGAGGAAGCTTCATATTTGTGATTCATTAAAAACAGTCTCTTAGCAGACATATACGAAAAGAAAGCTTTGCATCATTGTTTACCGTCAATACTTACTGGATGAATGAATGAATGTAACATGTTTCTGAACAATAATCTCAAATAACTGTTGCATTTTAATTTGTCTTTGAATTTCAAATGTGCAGAAACGTAAGAATTTGCTTCACAAGCAACGTTATCATCTTTCTTGTTTTAAATACAATTATAATTGCCAGGGAGGAGCAAGAAAAAACAGATTAAATTAACTAGCAAACATAGTATACTGTAGATAGTTAGGCCTGCAACCAATCAAGGAAATATGGTGGGAGAACGGTGGGAGGCGAGGAAGTGGGGAGTTGTGAAAGATTTATGCTCAATGCACTCCCAATTATCTGTAGGGCCCCCTCCCCCTCCCCATCCTTATGCCAAGATTATGCTCCATTCTCCCAGTCTTTCTTCCCCTCTTTTCCATTGTCCATGGGAAGGAAGGATCTGGCAGGAGGCACTTTCTTCTGGTCATCTCCCTAAAAAGTGGAACGAATGCAGGGAGCACATTCTTCTTTGCCCCCAAAACTAGGAATAATGAAAGTGTAGGGGTTCTGGTGGGCTCCTCACTCTTCTCAGGCATGCACGTATATGTATATGTGTAGTGGGGGACCGTGCTCCTGAATTCCTCTCTGTAGTGACTGCTCGGGATATATGTTTTTGATAAACTAATTAAAATGGAGGCAACTGCAATAGAAGTAGACAGAAGTGTATGGGTCTGATCATCCTCTCATTTTTCCCAGTTTGACACTTGTGTAACTCCATTGACTTCAATGGAGCTAACTCCTGAGTTATACTGGTGTGAGATCAGAATCAGGCCCCACATGTGTAAACCTTTGGCCCGAAGCTAATATACTCTACCGTTTGCCAGCAATCTGACATCAATATGTAACAAATACATGAAAAATACTCATCTAGCTAGTAATAGCTGCTCAAACATCTTCACCTTCAAGGAATTTCAAAACCTAGATATTTGAAGTGACTTGTTTACATTCAAACACAAGAGTCACTGAATATTTAATACATTTCCAGTAAATTGTGTATAATGTAATTATGTAAGCCTGACTGTACAGGTCACCTAGAGAAAATACTTAGACGGATACTGCCATTTAAAGAACACAGTGACTAAATATTTTATGAAAGTTGAAAAATCTGTGCGGATTTTTTGGCCCAAGTCTTCTGGGGAATTCTGTGAAACGTTAAATTAATCTTTAAATCTTTGAAGTGTTCCCACCTTTTAATCTGCGTTAAGGTTGTATTTTAGCAATGTTAGTGAAGACATATTTATAGGTCCAGAGTGCTGGTATACTTAAACAGATCCACAGGCTGACTTTAAAAATAAATAACTGTGTAGTATAGTGGAGATGCTGTAAACCTATCCCATTACTTTGTGCATTGCTGCAGAGTTTGGAAAATCAACTACTGGACTTAAGCACATAGGGCTAGATCCTTAAAGGTATTTAGGCCCCAACATCTCTTTGAAGATCTAGGCCACAGGCAATTTATTTCCCAAATCTCTAATTTTTTTAATCTAAATTAGGACATTGGAATATGAACAAGAGGCTGCTAGGCAGCTCTTCAACACCACTTTCTACAAGCCATTAACCTCTGATCCCATTGAGGGTTACCAAAAGAAACAACACCATTTGCTCAAGAAACTCCCTGAAAAAGCACAAGAACAAATCCGCACAGACACACCCTTGGAACCCCGACCTGGGGTATTCTATCTGCTACCCAAGATCCATAAACCTGGAAATCCTGGACACCCCGTCATCTCAGGCATTGGCACCCTGACAGCAGGATTGTCTGGCTATGTAGACTCCCTCCACAGGCCCTATGCTACCAGCACTCCCAGCTACCTTTGAGACACCACTGACTTCCTGAGGAAACTACAATCCATCGGTGATCTTCCTGAAAACACCATCCTGGCCACTCTGGATGTAGAAGCCCTCTACACCAACATTCCACACAAAGATGGACTACAAGCCGTCAAGAACAGTATCCCCGATAATGTCACGGCAAACCTGGTGGCTGAACTTTGTGACTTTGTCCTCACCCATAACTATTTCACATTTGGGGACAATGTATACCTTCAAATCAGCGGCACTGCTATGGGTACCTGCATGGCCTCACAGTATGCCAATGTTTTTATGGCTGACTTAGAACAATGCTTCTTCAGCTCTCGTCCCCTAATGCCCCTACTCTACTTGCACTACATTGATGACATCTTCATCATCTGGACCCATGGAAAAGAGGCCCTTGAGGAATTCCACCATGATTTCAACAATTTCCATCCCACCATCAACCTCAGCCTGGACCAGTCCACACAAGAGATCCGCTTCCTGGACACTATGGTGCTAATAAGCGATGGTCACATAAACACCATCCTATACCAGAAACCTACTGACCACTTTTCCTACCTACATGCCTGCAGCTTTCATCCAGACCACACCACATGATCCATTGTCTACAGCCAAGCTCTATGATACAACCGCATTTGCTCCAACCCCTCAGACAGAGACAAACACCTACAAGATCTCTATCAAGCATTCTTACAACTACAATACCCACCTGCTGAAGTGAAGAAACAGATTGACAGAGCCAGAAGAGTACCCAGAAGTCACCTACTACAGGACAGGCCCAACAAAGAAAATAACAGAACGCCACTAGCCATCACCTTCAGCCCCCAACTAAAACCTCTCCAACACATCATCAAGGATCTGCAACCTATCCTGAAGGACGACCCATCACTCTCACAGATCTTGGGAGACAGGCCAGTCCTTGCTTACAGACAGCCCCCCAACCTGAAGCAGATACTCACCAGCAAGCACACACCACACAACAAAACCACTAACTCAGGAACCTATCCTTGCAACAAAGCCCGTTGCCAACTGTGTCCACATATCTATTCAGGGGACACCATCACAGGGCCTAATCACATCAGCCACACTATCAGAGGCTCGTTCACCTGCACATCTACCAATGTGATATATGCCATCATGTGCCAGCAATGCCCCTCTGCCATGTACATTGGTCAAACTGGACAGTCTCTACGTAAAAGAATAAATGGACACAAATCAGACGTCAAGAATTATAACATTCAAAAACCAGTTGGGGAACACTTCAATCTCTTTGGTCACTCGATTATAGACCTAAAAGTTGCAATTCTTCAACAAAAAAACTTCAAAAACAGACTCCAAGGAGAGACTGCTGAATTGGAATTAATTTGCAAACTGGATACAATTAACTTAGGCTTGAATAGAGACTGGGAGTGGATGGGTCATTACACAAAGTAAAACTATTTCCCCATGTTTATTCCCCACCCCCCACCCCCGCCCTCCTGCTGGTAATAGCTTACCTTAAGTGATCACTCTCGTTACTGTATGTATGGTAACACCCATTGTTTCATGTTCTCTATGTATATAAATCTCCCCACTGTATTTTCCACTGAATGCATCCAATGAAGTGAGCTGTAGCTCATGAAAGCTTATGCTCAAATAAATTTGTTAGTCTCTAAGGTGCCACAAGTACTCCTTTTCTTTTTGATCTATTAGTTTATCACATCTCTGAAGTCACTGGAAAGTGCTTTTCTGGTAGCATCCAAGTGACTCTAAGCAGACGGAGACAAATCTTGCTTGTTTTATCCATATGCATCCTCCCACTGGGTCAGATTAAGACCTGGAGCCCACCATTCTGTCACTGACTCCAATGGGAGCAGGAGCAGGCCTTTGGTATAAGCAAGTGCAACTACACTGAAGTCAATGGAGTTGTAACCGTTGCCTCTGGATCTCAATTAGGCCTTTTCTCTTCAGCGGCAGTGCACATGTGAATAACGAGGGCAGGATTTGCCCTAAGAAGGACAGCTAGTCAAAAAAGAGGTTTTCACTAAATAACGGAGGAGGTGCACAAATACTATTGTACACAGACCTCCTTACAGTAGCAGTGAAGCAGGTGCAGGGCAGGTGAAAAGTAGGATTTTTCTGCCTTGTTAATCTCTCCCTGGTTAATTGGCCTGTCACCCACTTTTGCAACAAAAATGGTATCTCATGGTGGGTGTTCCCTCCATAAACCTGAATAAAATGACTCATCGTCAGGAGTCTTTCAGAAATTTGGCATCTAGACCTCTGCAAAGTCAGGAGTTAATCCTGAGAAATTTGAACACAGACAGTTTTTCACACCCTTCTGCTTTCCCTACATTTCACCCCAGGAGATCTCTATGTGATTCCTGGCGATAAATCTGCTGAAGGTCACACTTCTGCAGGAAGAAAATGAAAGACCAGAGCAAAGTTCCAGGCTTAGCTTGCCTGCCCTCCCTCACTCCGGACAGTGGTGGAGTATAGCAGGATAGGACCAATTCAGTGATGCAGGCCTACCTCTCTAGAAAACACCACCCTCTGCAAATATACAAGGGTTTTTAGGCTCTGTATTTAAGTCAATCTGGGTCTTGTTTAATTAATTCCTATCCACCAGAGATGTATTAATATCCTGGATGCAACAACAACAGTGAATGTCCCAGATTCAAAAAGGGCCTCCTAGCCAATTATATTGAAAATTAGGGTCTCTCCCAGTTTCAGTATAATTATTTGATTTCCTCTTCCCTTTTTACAAGCTCTTCCTCTTCCAAAATTGAAAATAATTCCGGGCTTCACTGCCTCTGTGCTTTCCATGTTGGCACTGTTCTACTTAAGCATCTTCTGGTTCTTCAGACCTTTGGATCCCACATTTCAAAATCTCTAGCGAAAGTGATCCAAAAAACCAGAACAGCATAGAACTCATTTCTTGCTCTCATGGGGATGTGGGGAGAGCGTCTTGCACTGTTTTCTAATTACTCTCTTCTGGCTGATGCTCAAAGCAGTGTTGACGTGCTCTGGAGGAAGATGTGTCTAGCCCTGCCTAACTAACTGAAGGAAGTAAAAAGGAGAACAGAGACAGAGAGAGGAAGATCCTAGAGGAGCACCTTAAATAAAAAAGGCCTACTATGGTATTGTGGAGTTTTGAGTTAACTGTTTGCGACCCACCTTCATCAGACCAGATGTCAGTTCTTCTAATCTGGGTGAAGGCTAATACTATAAACTTATGACCTGTCATAAGGGACCTATTGAGTCTGCAGCGCACTGTCTTATATTCTGCGTCAAAGCCCGGAACATCAAATAAACAGAAAAAAACACATGTATGGACTTTTACATTAATAACATAATGTGCCTATTTAATTAATTAAAAACGTCTGTCTTTTTAGTCTTTTTCTGTATATTTCATGCTGCTGTATACCTTTCAATTTATCTCTGTACTTAGTATTGACAATATATTTACAACACCCTTCAAATTGTGTGTAGTCCCAGTGTGACATTACACAAATTATTTAATGAGTCAATTTACATATTTGTAAATAATTTGCCTATAACCATAAGTTCCATCTTGTCAGTATGCTTTCACCCACACTGGGGCAGGGGGAGGAGATTGGGGGAAGGAAGTAGGACATGGAGAGGCACAAAAGTTGTCAGCTGAGAGTGGGTTGGCTGGGATAGGTAGAAGAATGGCGGAGGATGCTCACACAGTTACTGGAGAGCGTCGAGAGATACTGGGTAGATGGATGCATGTCTGGAAGGTGTTGGGGTGGTTGGGTACTGTAGGGCGTCTGGGAGTGCTGGATGTCTGGAGGGTAACTGGGGGGTAGTTTGAAGCTAAGTGAGGGTAGCTGGATCCTATGTTGAGATTTCTGAGGACAGCACTGGTCCACTCCCCTCCCTGGCTGCTCTTCCCCAAAATCCAGCAGGGGAGGAGCAGACAGGCTGCCTGCAGAGCAAGAGCTTGAGCATTCCCCAGTGGCTGGGACGAGCAGCTGCAGCCCATTCGTTCAGTTCCACTGAATGCATGCTCTCTCAGCTGGGCTACAGGAATGTGTGATGCTGCTTCTGTGCAGTGAGGCCAGGGGGAGCAGCTACAGGATTTGACAGCCTGGTGTGAAGGGGTTGCTGGTATATCACTGTGGGATGTGAGGATGAGAGGGTTGTCTGGCTTTGGGAGAGTGAGATGGTCCAGGTTAATTTTACTGTGGGGAAGGCAGGGTTTAGCAGCACAGAAGAGTAAAAGCAGAGGGGCTGGGCTGGGCAGTTGAGAAAGGAGAATGGCATTCAGTGGGATTTGGGGAGTGGGGGAGGACTTGACCACTGGGAGCACAGGGATTGGGGATGGGGAGGGAGAACGAAAACCTCTTTTAGCCCCAGTACTGGCTTTTACTGTCTTCTTTCCTTGCCCTTCCACAGGAGAGTGAGTTCTCTCAAACACCCTCCAACTACTTCCCTTCCTCTCTCCTGCTCCCAGCATCCCACTGACTACCATACCACTTCCCCCCACCCCCTCCTGAGAGCACTGGCCTCTTTGATTCATGAAGAGCACTCCTGAGGTCAGGCAGAACAAGCAGAGCACCACTCTCAGAAGCCCTTCTGTTTACTTAGATACATGGTGCAGGGACTGTTTCTGAGGTTGGTGCTGCCTGAGACAAGTCTGTGCAGTGGCATACTCAGGCTGTCGGGGAAAGCCAGGAAGTGATTCTCCATGAACAAATCCCACAACAAGGAGTATTAAACTAGAACATTCTCCAGATTATAACCATTTCCCCATTCTGCTATCGTTGAGAAATAATAAAGATAAGCAGTTCAAACAGTATTTTGTGCTGTTCCTTCCACTGCAATCACCTCTCTCTCTCTCTCTCTGGGCTTTCTATACCACTCATCATTTTATAGTAAATTCTTAAAAAACATATTAATGGAGATATGCCAACATCATCAGACAAAGGAATAAACAAAAATTTAGATCAACTTCAAGCTCCATTACAAATATAGGGAAAAAGAATATCAATGTTTGACAAATACAGACACACAACATTGGTAGGGAGAGAAATGTTATTTCTTCATATTTAGAGGAAATGATTACTTTCATTTGTCTGGAGGTTTTGAGAAGACTAACAAAACACAGCAAATATCTCTATACCAAAAGGGCTTTTATCACTGGAAACCACAAGAAACATGGGAATGTATTAAAAGTTATTGTCATTAAACGTTTTATGTGCATCCAACTCAGCCACAGGACAATCTTTACTTGTTTATGTAAGGGCAACTGAACAGGGTGTGAATGAGCAAGCACCATGATGCTAAAACAGCGTTCAGGTATATGAGGAAGAACATATCACTTGTTCACAGAATGCTTGCATTAGGTTTTATTCCTTTAACTAAATCCCCTAAATCTCCAGGAAAATAATTAGGAACAGGTCTCATAGTTAGGTAAAAGGAGAAAAAAAGTCAAGAACATTTTCTTCTTGCTGTAACAATTCACTCATTTTGGGCCTGGTTCTTACATGAGTGTAAAGCAAAGTAACCCTACTGAGTTATTCTGCATGTACACATGGTGTAAATGAGATCAGAATCTGGCACTTATTGTACCTCTCTTAATCATGGTGAAATGAGTACAAATTGATTTTAAAAATAAGGAAATACTTTTCATAGGAAACCAGTATTGAAGCTAAAACTAGTATGTACTAAATCATCCCCAAGTGCAGGAGGGAAAAGTACCCTAGAAACTCTTCAGATGAAATCCTGGTATCATTGAAGACAATGGGAATTTTGCCCTTGACTTCAATGCAGCCAGGATTTCACCTCAGGTCTCCAGAGAATCATCGCATCCAGGGTGAAAGAATGATGCTACTTGCAGGGGATTGGGAGTAAAACTTACAACTTTGTAGATGCCCTGAGATCTGTGAGGAAATCCATTTCCATTTCTGTGGATCTCAGGGCATCTTTGTAAAGATTCAGCCCCTCTCCACCTTAGAGCCATGGTACAACGAGGCACTGTATCATCACTGAAGACCCAGCTGCATCTGTACATTATCGTCCTCTCTGAGAGGGGTTAAACAGAAAAGACCGGAAGTGAATGCTGCTCTGAGTAACACTAACTCCTGCTGTATTTCTATAAGATTGTCAGGGACATCTGCCCCCAGCTCACTCCACTTCAGTCAGCTGTGCCCCCCAAATCACACAAAGCCTCAAGTCCACAACGTTTAAACGGAAGGGCTTCTGCTGTAGAGAAATTACGCTTTCCAGGTTACAATGCCCCCATTCTGTGCTTACTAGCCAGATGTGGTAGGCATTTGTACTAGTTTCATCCCCTTTGCCCCATGCAGCAGAGGGGCTGAAATGGTCTTATGTATACACAAATTATTCACTAACACTATGCAGAAAAATTCCTATTGCATCCCCCTGCCCCCAGTGCTATATGGTTTGAGATGTATTTCACCTTTTTAAAGAATATTCCAAGAAAACAAAAAACCCTGGAGAAAGAGGGAGTCATTCGGATTCCATTTTAATAGGTGTTTCCGTGAGTGAGTGAGTGAGTGAGTGAATGTACACTATTGCCAGCCAGACTTTCAATATCGCCATTACAAATGTTCAAAAATCAAGCTCACCTTATCTGGAATATAGCAAAATTGACTGAAAGTGCTCAGATCTATGCTAACAATACAGTGCTAGTATTTGAAGATTTCTGTTACCAAAAGAGCACTTACCTGTAATCATACTTAGAGCTGATAAACATGCTAAGGCTGGGATATCAAGGTTAAGGCTCTGTAAATTTAATGAAAAGTCTTTAATTGACTCGAGCCACTCCCCAAATCCACGAAGGCACTGAAGTCTATGAAGCACAAGTCCATTGCAGAATACAAACTTATCTTCAGCAGTATCAGATCTTGAAAAAAAATTTAAATCATAAACACACATAATTTTACAAAAAGATGTACAAACAATAGTGAAATGTGTATCATTTAATATCTAACACATATTATTACGGGCATATGTGGGCATTTATGTTTGACAATATGCTTCTTCCTGTGGGCAAAACTACAACAAACAAGCTTCTATGATTGCTTACTTTGGAGAGCTATAAGCCTGAGGTTAACTGTAGCATGTGCTGTAGATTGTCTAATTAGTTAAGATTTTTTGGTCCTGCCAAAGGCACAAGCAGCAGAGACATTTTACATTAAATACTGTATGTTTGAACCTAAGGAAGACAAAGTGTATATGCTTTGAAATACAGTGATAATATGACTTGGAGAAAGCAGAGATTATTTTCATTCTGTGATCCTTAGTGTTTCCTCCCTTACATTTCTCAAATTTCAAAAATTGTTGAAGACAAAACAATAGAAAATATATAAACTAATGTACACAAACGCACAGAACATACTGTAATACTCAAGGCAGAAAATCTCTTATGTGAAAAATTCACAGTATTTGTCAGACTATAACTAAACACTAAAAAGAATCCCTGATAAAAACAAACAAACAAACAAACATAGTTCATCTTCGCCCTAAAGAAACAGGGGCATAACTCAAAACTCCATCCTGGGATTTCCCTGTAACTATCTTAGATACAATGTCTTAACTAGTGCCAGGCTGACAAATGGCACCTCACTCTATGAAATGACTTGGTATTAGGAAGAAAAACAATCTGAACAGGATTTTGGAGCCCCTTTATCCCCTTCCAAAACAGAATTTCAAGACATCTGTGTGATAGGAAAAAAAACTCCAAACCATTGCATTACAAATGCTCTTCTACAGGTCATATAGGCAAGTACAAAACAGCCTCACTCGCAAGTAAACAAGGACAAATTATGATTAAAAGGAGAAAAGAAGATTTGGTAAATCCAATAAATGGAAGCACATTAGTGAGAATAATATTATTCCATTTCTGTACATTATTTTCTTATTTTTCTTCACTTGTATCACAAATTGAACACAGTATTTTGTCAGGTTTCAGAGTAGCAGCCGTGTTAGACTGTATCCTCAAAAAGAAAAGGAGTACTTGTGGCACCTTAGAGACTAACAAATTTATTTGAGCATAAGCTGTAGCTCACGAAAGCTTATGCTGAAACAAATTTGTTAGTCTCTAAGGTGCCACAAGTACTCCTTTTCTTTTTACAGTATTTTGTGTCTTTTGTTGCTGTTTCTTTTCGGCTGTTTTCACAAATAACAAAAGTAAAGCTATCGCTCTACTTATCCTTTAAAAAAAAAAAGTAGAAATTCACAGTTTTTCACATCAATTTAATATGGGATTATTTTCAATCACAAGTAATTACCTGATGGAGAGTCTTAGTACAAACAGCTCCAAAAAAGCTGATTCTATGAGTAATGTCTGATCTTCCTTTGGGAGATCAGTAAATCCTGGAATTTTTTCCGCCCAGCCCCTGGATATGTCAATGGAGGCAGTCAGAAGATTATAGAACTGTTGTACATGTTCTGCATCTGTGCCTGCAGCAGCCTGGTCAGTGGAACAGTACTAAAATGAAAGCCACAGAAAGTAATATTATGCGTTTTTAAAGAATGCCACAATACATACAATGCTGTCTGCTCAACAGTGCTTTTCCAGTGAGTCCCTCAACGGCAAAGACAGTAGGTTATTTTATCAAAGGGATAATAAACAGTTAAATATGAATGTAATGCCATATATATATATATATATATATATATATATATATATATATATGTATGTGTGTGGGTGTGTGTATATGTGTGTTTTACTTTTAATATAGGTAGCTCTTGAATACCGTAACTGTAACTATATGGATTTATAGTAGGGCTGTCAATTAATCGCAGTTGACTCATGTGATTAACTCAAAAAATTAATTGTGATTAAAAAAATTAATCATGATTAATTGCACTGTTAAGCAATAGAATACCAATTGAAACCTATTAAATATTTTGGAAATGTTTCTACATTTTCAAATATATTGATTTCAATTACAACACAGAATACAAAGTGTACAGTGCTAACTTTATATTATTTTATACAAATCTTTGCACTGTAAAAATGATAAAAGAAATAGTACTTTTCAATTCACATCATACAAGTACTGGAGTTCAATCTCTTTATCATGAAAGTGCAAATTAAAAAATGTAGGTTTTTTTGTTATATAACTGCACTCAAAAACAAACCAATGTAAAACTTTAGAGCCTACACGTCCACTCAGTGCTACTTCTTTTGTTCAGCCAGTCGCTAAGAGAAACAAGTTTGTTTACATTTATGGGAGAAACTGCTGCCCACTTCTTAATTACAATGTCACCTGAAAGTGAGAACAGGTGTTTGCATGGCACTGTTGTAGCTGGCGTTGCAAGATATTTACGTGCCAGATGCACTAAAGATTCATATGCCTCTTCATGCTTCGGCCATTGTTCCGGAGGACGTACTTCCATGCTTATGATGCTCGTTAAAAAAATAATGCATTAATTAAATTTGTGACTGAACTCCTTGGGGGAGAATTGTATGTCCCCTGCTGTTTTACCTGCATTCTGCCATATATTTCATGTTATAGCAGCCTCAAATGATGACCCAGCACATGTTGTTCGTTTTAAGAACACTTTCACTGCAAATTTGTCAAAATGCAAAGAAGATACTGATGTGAAATTTTTAAGACAGCTACAGCACTCGACCCAAGATTTAAGAATCTGAAGTGCCGTTCAAAATCTGAGAGGGACGAGATGTGGAGTATGCTTTCAGAAATCTTAAAAGAGCAACACTCTGATGTGGAAACTACAGAACCCAAACCACCAAAAAAGAAAATCAACCTTCTGCTGGTGGCATCTGACTCAGATGATGAAAATGAACATGCGTTGGTCCGCACAGTTTTCGATCATTATTGAGCAGAACCCATCATCAGCATGGTTGCATGTCCTCTGGAATGGTGGTTGAAACATGAAGGGACATGAGTCTTTAGTGCATTTGGCCTGTAAATATCTTGCAACGCCAGCTACAACAGTGCCATGTGACCATCTGTTCTCACTTTCAGGTGACATTGTAAACAAGAAGCAGGCAGCATTATCTTCTGAAAATGTAAACAAAATTGTTTATCTGAACGATTGCCTGAACAAGAAGTAGGACTGAGTGGACATGTAGGCTCTAATGTTTTACATTGTTTTATTTTGGAATGCAGGGTTTTTTGTATATAATTCTACATTTGTAAGTTCAACTTTCATGCTAAAGAGACTGCACTACAGTACTTGTATTAGGTGAATTGAAAAATACTATTTATTATGTTTTTTACAGTGAAAATATTTGTAATCAAAAATAAATGTAAAGTGAGCACTGTACACTTTGTATTCTGTGTTGTAATTGAAATCAGTATATTTGAAAATGTAGAAAACATCCAAAAATATGTAAATAAATGGTATTCTATTATTGTTTAACAGAGTGATTTTCATACGATTAATCACAATTATTTTTTTAATCCTGAGATTAATTGTGATTAATTTTTTATAGAAATTTATAGAAATCAGGCATTTTATAAATGACCAAATTTGGCCTTTATCCATATGCTGTTAGTCAACAAAACTAGAAATCTGGTGGTTAGCATCACTTTTAAAACTGGAAGGATATAAGAATTCTGTTTAACGTATCACAATTTTTAAATTTCCCACTGATGAATTTGGCTCAATGTATTGTAAATGCAGATTTCCTCCAAATCACTATCTCACCGTGCGAGAGGCATGTGGGATAAATCTCTTTTCTTATCTGACACATGCAGCATCAATCCATCTGAATAAAAAATTGGTTCAAAGTAAAACAACTGGCCAAAATGACCTCATCATCAGAACCGAACAATTTTTAGGTTTAGGTAAAGAATGTATCATCTTGTTGACACAACCAATCCTTCCAACAGCCCCAGCTTCCTTAACTTCCCCATGACCTGCCAACAGACTGCAGCTCCTTCCCTGCTACCACTTCCGACTTCTTCACTACTGGATCCTGTCATTTCTGAATTCAAATCTTATGGCCAGGGTCTAAGCCTGGCCTAGTCTCTCTGTGACATGGAGCACAGCCAGAGTGATGTGGCCCAGCCTATTACTGTGTCTGAGAAGTGCTGCTGGTTTCCTGAGTGGAGAGAAATGAATCTGGAATTTACTCCATGGCTGTAACAACTTCCTCTCCACTAGGTCCTTCGGAGTAATTTCTGGGAGGGATTTAGTGCAAAACAGTATCGCCCTGGGCCTCCCACCAAAAGATCTCCACAGCTGACGGAGAGAAGCACTTCAAAGAGCACCCTCAAATGGCAGCTAGAGACAGAGCCCATTGACTTGAGGAATCCGTTGATAGCACTGTCAAGGGGGGACAAGGTGGGAGGGGAAAGACCCCCCCAGCCTCCCTCAATGACAACAGGAATGTTTCTTGGGCCCCTACTACTGCCACCTCACCGCCCTTGCAGATCTGATTGAGGCTGTTACTGCAGCCACAAGGTCTTCCTCTGTGGAGGAGTGAGAGGGGGAAGGTGCAAAGAGGAACCCTGGAGTGTGTAGCTCTTGTCCACTACATACTCCCCTAGGGGAAGCAGGTTCACCGATGGTGTAGAATGAGCAGGATGAATGGTCTCAGAATCATGGGTAGGTTGGAGATACACAAGAAGTGACACTGGAAACCCTACATAACTCTGGCCACATCTGAGGTATCTCTGCTGGCGCTAAGTAATTCCTGTCTGCTCAACCCAGCATTAGCTGCAGGGCCATTTCTCATCCTGTGCTCCCATTGCCTCTCCCAGTCATAAAAGCACATGTGATCCCTCTGACGAAGTTCATATGGGGAAAATCCTGACCCTGTAGCTATGGAGGGTCACCTGACACTGAACCAGTGCAGACAGGAAGATGCAGGGCTGGGGAGAGGACGGGGGCTGTTCAGGGTGTGCACATTGCATGGTTACACAAGTCCTTGGTCCTCCCGCCATGAAGGGGGCCTGGGGTGCACAAGTGGGAAGAGAGGCTATTCTAGCCATTGGAAGCAATAGCCATTGTGGAGTGGCTATGCAGCTTCTCCATGGCCTGGAGGGGGCTAGGAGGATGATTTCACCACCATCACCACTGGTCCCCTGTGCATCTGCCCAGTACTCAGCCCAGATACTCAGTCTGGGTGCTGGGATTTGGCTTCCCCCTGAGGTTAGCAGGGCAAATTAATCTGGCTCGTGTGTGACACTGGAATTCAAGGAGCACGTGCTGCACAGACCGTCAGTTCCTGGACTCCTGTTTTACGTGCTACTCAGACTGTGCAGAGGAAGGGGGTGGCTATGTGGTGCCATAGGAGCATGTCACCTCTGGGTGTGCCATCTGACTCCTGCGTGCTGTCAGCCTGTTTGCTAATTATTACAAAATATAAACCACAATGTACATCTCCCTATCATTTTGGCCTTAGAGCAGGATACTTGTTTAGTAGGTTACATGGTGAGGCCATAAGTGATTAGAAAATAAGAAGGCTCCAGTGCAAGTGAACAACCTCCACAAATTCCCAAAGGCAAAATGCGGAGGGGGCAATGGGGGGGGGGGAGGAGGAACTGACCTGGGCAGTTATTCCAGACTCATGGGAAATCTGGCTGCACTCAAATACGCTGGCAGCCAAGTCCCTCCAAAGTGCTGCATGACATCATGCATTTTGGATGTTCTTTGTCATAGTTATTGGGTAAGTAAAACATCTCTCCTCCCCCAAGGTCAGATCCTGCCCCCAAGACCTTTGCATGCAGGGGACCCTCTGTGTGTGGATCCCCCCATCCCATGCAGAAATTTTGGAGGGTAGCAACTTTTGTGATACCCCCTATATCCACACTACGCGAGGGGATGGACGTGGGTCAGGGAACAGATGGACCTGATCTGGGAGAGGGCAAGCACCCACCAGCCCCACACAAATTGCTCGGAAAAGGTACGATACCTCCAGGCTGTATTAACTTTTCTGCAGAGCTACATATTGGGGAGCCCCCATTTAATGGGCTCTGGAGACAGCCACAGCCAGGAAGCCCTAGAGCCAATGTGGAGGAGATGCAGAACCCCAGGATCTGCTTGGCCCTAGGGAGACCTACTTGGTTGTGCAGGGGTGGAACTATGGCACATTCATTCCATGAGGGGCAAACAGAATGATTTGAGGGAAATTCCTCCCCCTTCCACAGGTATTTCTGAGGCAGGACATGCTCTGAGCCACAGAAATCAGCAAAAAGAAAAAAATATAACGCTCTAAAGCCATCCCATGTGTAGCTCATCTGAAGTCAATCGGGATAAATCTGGCCCAGTATTTTTAAAGCACTCCTTGACCACATTAAATTGACCTATAATGGCAACAACACAGAATGTTACCATTTTCTAACCCTAACGTGAATATTTCCGTGTTACAATAGAGAAGCAGGTTTATTAAATTGAATATACGTTTAATAACTCTACATATTTCTTAGATTTGTTTTGCTAATTCTAGTAGCTCAATCCAGCTCATGGGAGCATGATGAGCAGAATGACAGAAATTGTATTTCCTGCCTTTGAACGGTTAGTCACTGCTAGAATATGTCATTCATTACTAGAAAGGCTCACATTTTACCAAAAATAGATGAGGAAACCAAATGGGGCCAAATTCTACAGTCCTGGATTACGCACAAATCATTCCCTGCACTGGGAAAACCCAACAATCACCCCATGGGAAGGAGCTGGTGTTTACCTCACTCCTGCAGAAAACAACTAGCAGGCCTGGCCTTAGTCAAGAGACCATTGAAGAGAAGGGGGAGCACTCTGCACTCCATGAGACATCACCACAAACTGGAGGCACTTTGGGAGAAAGTCAGAAGAGCCTGTGGTTGCTGCCAAGATTTTCCCCAAGGGGAGCTCCTGTGTACAGCAGCATTATTTTATGTAGGATATGAAAGTCTGATGCTGTGCAAAGTGGTCATACACCCCTGTTCCACTCCTTCCTGCTTATGTCAGACCTCCTGGAGCTTGCATGGTTTCAAAAACATGGAGGAGGCTTCCTTAGATTTCAAGGGGAGGAGCAATTATACTCTTAGTGCATCTCCTGTTTCTGCATTGTGACCCTGGCATTTGCTTAATTTCTGGCCTCTATATACAGAGGGTTTTATTATAAATACAGATTACTGCCCTATTTTACCCTTAATCAGACAAAATTCTTACTGAAGTTGATGGGAATGCTGCCTGAATAAGGAGTGCTAGATTTGGGGCTTTATTCGCTTGTCGCTCGCACAGTACAAGTCTGAACTTCATGGAATTACAACAGTGAAACAGGTGTGAGACGAATATGGCCCTTGGCCTTTAATAAGTTATAAAACAATCTTCCTAGTAATTGTTTTGGAAACCATATATCTTAATATTCTGTTACTGTGGACAGATAAATTAAAACCAACTCCGAAATGAAGAGTAGCAATGTTCTGAATAGAAATAAGATTTGTTTTGACATTCCAAGGTTATATGAGTATTTGGATTTTCTTTGTGCAATGTACTGATTCTTTTTTTTTTTAAACAAATCCTGTATTGAGGTTTTTATTACTATTTTATTACGGCAGGCATGACAATATTATTAGATTACAGTATGCTAGAAATTTGAAAAATTAAAGCCCCATTCCTGCAATGTATTGTGTGTGGGTGCCCCTCCATCAAGGCATGGGGTCCACCTGCATGCAATGCATTGCAGAATTAGTATCTTACTGAACACACCTATAATTACTCTGCTCAGCAACAGAATTCATGAAAGTGGTTTTGTAAGTACATGTTTTTACTACATATACCATTCCACTAATATCAGTTGATTTACAGTTTTCATTTTGTTCACGCTAATTCCTTAAAAAATATGCAGAACATTTACAAAGATATGATTCATTAATTTATGTTAGGAGGCTTAAAAAGAGGTTTTCAGTACTACGAAGCACTACCAACTATTATATTTTACTCTAAAGTAAAGTTAGGGTTTCAAATCCTGCCAACCACCAATCAGACACAACAGAATCTTTTCGTTACGAAGCATAAACTAATTTAACATCAACAATGCAGTTTTCCTTAGGCTTCCAATGAAATTGTACACCATCATAAAAAATATTAGCCACTTAGATCTATGAGCTATTTTTGTATGAACTGAAATAGTCACTGTAGGTTTTTTAAAAGAAAATCACATAAAAATACACAATTTTCATTGGATTTTTGTCAATGTCAAAAGCTATACATCTATCAGTATACATTCAGGGGCCCAATCCTGTATATACACATCTGGGTAACTTTACTCACAGAAGTAAGTCCATTTAATTCAGTAGGACTATGTACATCAGTAAAGTTACTGACATGCATAAATGTTTGTAGGTTCAGGCCCAATGTGTTTTGGGAAAGTTAAAATAAATGAAAATATACCCAATGCATTCTCCCATTAAAAATCATCAGACAAAAATATAAACTGGGTGCTTAATAAACAAAGCAAAAAAATTCTATAGGTAACTATAGATTAGCCTGTAGAAAAGCATCTGTAATGTGCCTATAATTATTAAAGAATGTCAATATAATTACAAATAAATGGAAAGGTTATTAATATATATAAAATATAATAGAATATATAGAATCTTCTTAATAGTAAATGATGCATTGGCTGCATAGAGTGATGTTGTTTTGACCAGTTTCATATTTAGTAAAATTTAATAAAGAGAAAGGGATTTGTTCATGATTTTCCACATATGTGTTTTTTCTTTCCTTGTTTTGGAATTTCAATCATATATTTTAATAAGTGCAGGTGAGCTATAGCCTATTTTCTGCAGTAGATAACAAAATAGCTCGTCACTATTTAAATAAAATAAATATATAAAAATAAAGTTACAAAAATCTACAATATATGAGAATTCTTTGCTTTTTCAATTATTTTTTTCAGTTTGATTTAAAGAACTATTCAACCGACTTGGATTAATCAATAATAAATAATACCTATCTCTTATATAGTGCTTTTCATCAAGTAGGTCTCAAAGTACATTACAAAGGAGGTCAGTATCATTATAATTTACTCCGTCAACCTAATATGCATGCTGTATGATGCAATGGTCCAATTCTGCTCCTACTGAAAACAATGGTGAAACTCCCATTGATTTTAACTGGAGCAGAGCCGGATGCCTATTTGTTTCAACAACCAGGTATAACTTCTCGTAACCCATCTATCTGAATATGAGAAAAGCAGTTAGGTTTTCCAAACTAGAAATTAAGACCCCAATCCCACAACTGACTGCACAGGAGCCCATCCCGGAGTCTGCCCTGAGTCCTGTTAAAGTCAATGAAGCTCTGCACGGTTGCGCACAGCCTGTTGCGGGAACAGTGCCCTATTTACCTATGCACACTTGCTTTAGCACACCTGTGGGGAGTACTGCAGATAGTCTTGTGTCTTAAACTCTGTATCACAACAGATAGAGGCTAAAATTAATTCCCAGTGTAACTCCATTTAAGTCAGTGCCGACACACCTGGAATAGGGCACTGGGTCAGTTATTACTTTATCTAAATTTTACAGTTCTCTCATTTCAATGTACTGATTGTTAAATTTTAAAAAATACAATTTAGCAATTATTTCTATGCAAAAAATCATAAAACATACTCTGGAATAATCAAGCTCTCGGGGTGTGGAGTCAGTTAAAGCGCGGACCAGGGCATTCATCATACTGATTGGAGGAGAAGGTGGGGAGGGCTGGGAAGGTTCCTGCTGTAAAGGGCTCTTTGGTTTGGAAGGCAGACGACCTCTTCTCCCTTTCAGGCTATCAGTACGGACAACTGATTAAAGAAGAACAAAAATCAGTCCACAAAGACATCACCAAAAAGCTACAACCACAAATGAGCACCAGGTTAGTTCTTAATTATGATTAGCCCAGCAAAATCCATAATATGCTTCCATTTAGATAGATAGATAGATAGATATATCACTGCCATCCTTAATTGCAGAGATATAAGTGAATATTATAAAACAGTGTGAAGCTCAGACTTGTAGCCAGCAATGTTACATCTGACCAGCGCCCTTTTTATGTAACCCCCGTTCTGTCCCTGAATGTTTAAGTTTTGCACACACACACACACAAATACAAACCCCAATAATTATACGAATAATGTACATTTAAGCCTTCTTACTGAATAATTCTTAGCTTCCTTAAAACACTTCACATGCTATGGGCCTGATCCTGAAAATGCTTACTCATGTGAGTACTTCCATCAGTGGGACTACTCACATCCTTAAGCATTTGCAGGATTCAATCCTGGTTCCATTACAATCAATGGCAAACCTTATATTTAATTCCATGGGAACAGACCAGCGCCCTATGTAAAGGTACGCAGGACACAATGTAATGCAGCCCCTCTGTGAGGTGGCAGACAACTGCAGTACAGCACACTGTACAGCAGGAAAGGGAGGAGAAACTTTGGCCAGGGTCACTGGGAAAATATCTTCCTCTGATGACCTTGCAGTTCTTGAACCTGTGGTTCCAGAGTATCCAGATATTATAAACCTAACGCCTGGAAAAAGAAAAAAAACAACTTACATATATTGCATAGACCCACGCTTTGGAGGTAAGTAAACTAAAAAGCCTACCATCATAAAATTCCTCATAAAATTAAATCTATATATTTTAACATAAGCAAATTTAATATTCAGATATTTGTGCTTATGATAGCATACGTTCCTTACCTTCTTTAACCATGCCGACACTGAGACACTTCTGAAAGCGGCAGTACTGGCATCTGTTACGACGTCTCTTATCCACTGGACAGTTTTTATTTGCCAAACAAACATATTTTGCGTTTTTCTGAACTGTTCTCTGAGAAAATGCAACGCAGAAATAGTCAACTGATAGTTTCTTGAATGAGCTAGGACCTGACAAGATGTATTTTAATTACAATGTGAAAAGCGACAGTGCAATTTGTATAATTAGATAAAATTAATTTCCTAACACACTAGCCCGGAGGAAAAACAGTTTTATTGGTGTTAGCTGCTGACAATGAAAATTGTCTAGGATTGTTCTGAAGCAAGTCTCAGGAGACAACCAACTTTGAATGATAAAATCATATCTGAAATTACCAGGTCATCGCATCTACCTTTGGGGATTAGATTATCTCCGCTTTTAATATCCCTTTGGGAACAATTTTCTACTTGGTTCATTCCCCTGATTATTACTGACCTTATTAAAATAGAATCAAAATAATCTGGTATGTACTTCTCTTGCTATCGCTGTTGTTAGTCAAATATCACAATAACTGGTTTTGCTAGCCATTAAAATCAGTACAGATGAAATCAAAACTACAAAAACCAAACCAAACCAAAAAAACCCCAAACCTTTCACAATTTAGTTAACTCTCATGGAAAAATAACTTAATTTGGAGAAAATGAATCGAGTTATATTTATACTGACACTTGCTTAGCTATAAAACAAATGTTTGGAGAGATGCTGACCAATTTATTTTTAAAATCCTATATTTATATTCTAACAAATAATTTTGAAAGCTATCAAATAGTTCAGATTTTATAAAAATAAGTTAAGACTAGAAAAAGAATAAAGCAGATATTGGTACAAAAAGTGTAAGGTGTTTTAATATTTAAAATCAATGCTATTTCAATAAATAACTCAATTTCACCACAGATGAGCAATTAATAGCAAAGACTTAAAAGCAACCACAATAAAATTCATAATTACTGTGACATTATAAACTGAATCTTTCATCAATATGAAATTATGTAGAAAAATGTTATTTCTTTCACATTTGTGTTCCTTGTGCAATAAAAGACAAGATCAAAAGTAATAAAAATAAGAAACACATCAAATCATTCACCACTTAAATGACAACTGCATCTTGTACTTGGAAAATCATTTTATAAATTTAGGGCCCAATCCTGCTCCCATATAAATTCACAGCAGTTTAGCTATTGACTTCCACAGGAGTAGGAACTTCATAGCTACTTTTCCCAGATGATTTTTGGTACCTATTCTAATTATATTTACACAACTAAGAGTTTTAATAGATATGTGTATATTTACCATATTATAAAAGTATTATCATTGAGTAATGTTACTAGTAGTAAGTGCAATAAAAAAATGTTTTAAACTTCCTGCTCCTATCAAAGCCAATGCAAAAACTTCCATTAACTTAAACAGGAGCAGGTCTCCGATCTTTACAGAAAGAAATTGACTAAATCAAACCTTCAACCTTGATACTAATAAATCAAACCCTAAGATCTACTGCAAGCTCTAAATTTAAACATGCCATTTGTAAGAGTAAACTGAAACCTTACATACGATCTGTAAAAAGCAAAAACAAATACTAAAACCTAGCATTAAAAACAAATAAAAAATGCATAAACCCAGAAAGCAGAAGCAGAATTTTTCTTCATAGTGAATGCGTTATGTATTACCTGTACCCAGAACCTTCCCAGTTAGTCTCAGAGCTAATATTGAGGCACTGAGTAGTGCTTCGTCATTGCACTACTGAATACCTTTCACAGATCAGAATTCACTGGTTTCTCAACTAAATAGTTGTAGTCAAGCAGCAACTTCCTAGCATTACAAATGTTCTGTTTTATAACATACATTGACTCAATTGCCTCCTTGGCATGTCCTTAAATCTACATTTCTTTGGATTACCCTATGGAGGGAGATTACACTTTTCACTGTTACTACTAGCTGAATTATTGGGACATCTGTATTTCATGCCTTGTTTTAAAAATATTTAATTACTCTGAATGCCTCAGAAAAGTCCAATTTGTTGAGAGCAAAATAAATGCAGCTAGATTTATTTCAAGAGAAGCTCCTGAAATAGTTGCCCTGCACTTCATGGAAAGTCATTATGTGCCAGACACTAGGCTGGTGTATATCAGTTTAGCTCCAGTGATTCAGCCAACTGAGGCCTTGTCTTCACAGTGTGTTAGTCCACACCAGAGCAATATAAATTCTAGTGCACACTAGCATGTTGCACACTGACTAGCACAGCATGCATTCTTAGTACTTTTTGAAATGGCCGGGATTACATTAACGCACACTAGGGAACTTTTAGTGCACGGCAGTAGGGTCCCACAGGCCAGTTAGTGCATGACATACTAATGTGCACTAAAATTTACACCTCTTTGGTGCAGACTAATCTGCAGTGTAGCCACGCCCTGAGACTCTGGGTGAGAACTAGCCCAATCTCTACACTACATCCTCTGGAAGATATTATTTGGCTTTGTATGAATAGTCACTTGGTGTCTACCTTCCCCCACCACACTACCCAGATGGTGGGTTTTCACTGTAACATACACTTGGCTCACAGAATCATCCTAACTTTTCTGGGTGAACTTATCAGCATAACAACAACCGAAGCAGTCAGTGGTTAGCGTGAATGGTGTGGGGATGACTTGGGATGGGGGGTTGGCATCTGTGCATAAGTATATACGGTTCTCACCTTAAAGAAGCCCTTGCACCCCTCGCACGTCCGTACCCCATAGTGTTGGCAGGCAGCATTGTCCCCACACACAGCACAAGTGCCTTCTCCAGACGAGGAGCTCCTGCTGGGTGGGGAAGGCAGGCCACTGCTGCTGCCACTGCTCTCGCCCAACAGGCTGGAAGTGGCTGCATTGAGGCCCAGTGGCGAGAAGGCTAAGGCGGCTGCTCTTTTGGCCAGGGGGAGCCCATAAGGATGGTTCTCCATAGTGGTTTGACCGGCAGTGGGTCTGTCAGATCCCAGAGGCAGGCTCAGGGCAGCAGGGTCATAGCACATGTGGGCACCAGCTGCAGGCGTGTGGGGTGGCGAGTGCTTGAAGTGGAAGAGGGGGAAGCGGGTGGGCACAGTCTTCATAGGGGCAGAGTCCATCAGGTGGCTGGGGGCCATGCAGGTCTGTGCAGGTTGCAGCGGATGTGGGGGTTCATCCCACATGGAGGCCTGGTGAGAAGGGAATCCGGGAGTGGTGGGCGTGGAAGGCGGGGACTGCTTGAAGTACATGGAAGTGCTGGGCATCCCTTCATCTGTGGAGGGCGGCAGTGAGGAGTGGTAACTATGTAGCCGGCTGTCTTCCATTTTTATGAGGGGCCTCTGGCTGGAGGAGGCAGATTGCATTTGGTACAGGCAGGAGGGCTTGAGCTCATAGCTGCCAGAGTAACCCTCCATGAAGGTGCTGAAGCTGGGCAGGGAGGTGGTGGCGGTGGCAGTGATCTCGGTGCTGCTCAGGTCCATGGTCAGTTTGGTGTAGTCAGGATTCATGATCTCCGAGCTGTACTCTGAGCCATATGCGTAGGTCTGAGCTGCATAACTCGAACCAGGAGGTGAAGGGCTATACTGAGCTTGCACACAGGGCATATCTGCAAGGGCAAAAGGGGCCATTAGCAACAACAACAAACAACAACCACGTTGCGGCTGCAGCTTCAGGTCATCACTTACATTTCTCTTAGCCTTTTATGGTGATTTCCTGCATTTCACGGAGAGAAATTAGACACCCACTGCCAGAATGTGGGAGTTATAAATTTCCTCTGAGTACTCAGTATTTGAGAAGAAATATGTATTAGATGCATATGGGGCCACATTCTGCTCTCAGTTACGTTGGCTGAAATTACTGGAGTTACCCCAATTTTACACTGGTGTAAGTGAGAGCAGAAGCTGGCCCTAACTGCCCTAGCTCTACTGCCTGACAGACATAGATGTCAATGAGAATTAAACAAGAAGCATGAAACAGTATATGAATACATGCAATTATGCCATAAAATTTTCATGTGTGGAAAAACCACACTATCACAGTCTATTATGTATATAAAGGTATTGTCTAGAGTGTACTTCAAAGACACAACTGAAATCACTGTATCTGTTACTTAGGAGCTGTGAAGATAAATACTTCTTACTTGACCTAGAGCCTACATACTGTATTTTTGATCAGATCATAATTAAGGGGGATATCTTACCATCAGCTTTTAAGAAGAACTCCCCATTACAGGGAGGACTGCTAAAAAAGATGGCACAATAGACCCTAACATTTTTTAAAACGTAAAGGCAAAAGTACACTGTATTTCTGTCTCGATTGCTATAGGAGATCTAGGTTGAGGTTGATACTAGTCCTGTATTTTTTTTACATTGCATCATGAAAGTAAATCCAGTTCACTCACACAAAGAGTTGATTTATTTATTTATTTTCCACTTCTCTGTTCTTCACTTTATTGCTCACAGACCCAATGCAGCAATCTGTATGAGGTTTGCCTGCTTAGTCACTACAGGTTTCAAGCCCAGTATTTGCAATTGAAGCTAAAGACAGTCAGTGAGTTTCACTTTGACAAAACATACATCTTATTATTAGTGAGGGAAATGCTTTCACATGGAAAACCTGAGAAAGTAAAGAAGTATTATTACCCTTGGAGGAAATATATTTCAAAATTAGGACTAGTTTATCTCTTTATAACCAGTATAATTCGTATTCCAGAGGCACTGGATAAATGATACATACAAACATTTCTAAAGGTTAAAGGTAGCTGTTCTTCCTGGATATTTTAAGAAGTCCCTTTACTTTGGTTTCTTAAAACATTTCCTAGAAACTCTCACACAATAATCAAATTAATTTCTATTAAATAAACTTTTAATTCCTAATTTGTAGAGAAACACATTTAAATTAAGAACAGATTTTAATTATTGGATTTTCATGTCAGAAGAAAGACCAGCTTTTTCAAGTTTTCAAGGAACTTTGTAAAAATGTGGGAGAAAATTACTGCTTTTGTTTCCTAAAATGATTCTTTAAAGACTACTTTTATTTATATATCCAAATACTATATATTTTTTTAAAAAATAGGACAAAATCTTCATAAATCTTACCTCAAAAATCTTATTTATTTTTATTTCTAAAATGTGCCTGCCAGTCTCTGGGTGCATATACACAGTTGAACTAATGCAAATTAAGAAAGAAAACTCAGTGCCAACTTGTGATATTATCAAACAAGGGAAGTTAAACAACTGGTTTTCCTAAATATGTTGCTTATATGGTAATAGAGTAAAAGGAAATGAAACTCCTTCCATACACCTCCAATGAAAATTCTTTGAGAAATGCAGTTTAACAAGCAGATAAATAATGTCACAAATTGACATGTTGACACAGAATCTTGTGAAGGAGAAGGATTTTCTGCCTGTGCTGAACAGGAGCAGGCATTGATAAGAGATGACCTGCTGTTCCTCTTCTCTTCAGCAAGAATACCTGCACTACTGAATATAACATGGCTATTTCACTTTAAGAAACTATTATGCTAAATTTGCTATAAGGAAATAGAAATCTGCATTAAACCCTATTTGAAGAAAAGGAGGAGGAAAGAATTAAGGTAAGGATCTATTCGGATCTGCAGAACTCCTCTTACTAGCCTGATTCTCAGTGTGATCTACTGACTAGTTCTAACCCCTGTTTTTTCTTTCTACTTTAAGCACTGGGATTAGTTTTCCTCAAAAATAAATAATAATGTGACAATTTAATTATTATTATTTCTTAACACAATGTACCTAAAATAACCACGAGCCCCGTTTTAAAACGATGTATTAGCAAGACCAAGATGAATCAATACAAAATCTGGTTAGGAACATTCAGAGGCACTAACCTTTCTGAAATCTTTGCAAGAATGGTACATGAGAATACGAGTTAATAATGTTCACCATAACATCCCACCCACTTGCTTGCAATTTTCTCTTTCAATTTTTAATGTTGGTCAGGGACTTTTAATTCCTATGGATTCAGTCATAACAGTAAAAGTTTTATTAAATACAGTCTCTGAATGACCATGCAATTAAATCGGGGAGCAAAATCTTCTCGAAGGCAAACTCCCTGCGCCCTGTTCAAAGCGAAATGGCGTTGCAAGAGCGAAATTTGGCCCTACGAGTTTGAAAATATTAAAACTGTTGATAGCATTTGCAAAAGAAGCTCGGCGTATTGGCAGGAGACTTTATTCTCACTCCGATTCCACTAATTCCTTGTTGCTGGGAGAAGCCAATTGTCTGGATTCTGCTCTCTTTGTTCCGCACGTGTAAACCCAGAATAACTCCATTGACTTCAGAGGAGCGACTCTGCATTTACACCACGTACTTCGGGGCTGAATACGTGTGCGGGCTCTGAGCGGGCAGGGGCCCCCCAGCCGCGGTGTGTCTGTTACCTGGAGGGTATCTTGCTCGCTGAATGGTGGGGCTGGTCGTCTGGACGGCGGAGGCTGCAGGAGGAGGCGGAATGCGGGCTGGCTGGGGCCGGTCTGCGGGTCCGGGTTTGGAGCCGGGACTCAGCGTGGGGCGCTCTTCCGAACCGGGCTCTGTCACACAGCAGGGAAAGAGAGAGGTCGGGAGTCACAAGGCGGTCTGCACCCGGTCGCGGGAGCCAGGCTCGGAGACCCGGGCTGAGATCACGCCGTGGGGCTGAAAACGAGCCGCAGAGCCGGCGATGGCAGGCAGGTTCTGAAGGGAAAGCCACTGCTCGGCCACCTGCAGCCTGGGATAACAGCGTTAGCGTGGGAACTGGGAGGGGAGAGACAGATGTACAATTCAGCCCCAGCTCCCCCCCAAACCGGCGAGGGGCTTCTCGTGTTCCTCAGAAAGCAGGTCGCAGCCTTTCCCCCAGAGGTTAGGAAAACTCCAGCCCTAATGCTGCCATCCCCCCTCCCCCTTCTCTCTCGCTCAGGACGCCAGGGGAAGAGTCGGAAGGTGCCATGGAAAGGAAGTTTACACACTCTTTTGTCAGTAGCAACGTTATGGCAATATCGGGATCGGATTGGGCGTAAAGCCATGAAAGCCTCCTCCTTTCGCCCAGAGAAAGACGCCGTGGAAAATGTTTAGCAACTTTCCCCTCTAACTGGCTTGGCCCTTTTTTGTGCTACATGTGGGGGCATTTTCGGCAGGCCAGCAGGAAGTTTAAATCCGGGTGGATCCAGGCCAGAGGACAGGTATGGCCAAGGTAGACAGGCTCTTGCAGTGAACTGAAAGGATTTCTTACCCCACGCCGAGCTTGCCTTCTCCGTGCAGTCCCCGAAGGGTCGGCGCTCGCCCTCTCCCCGGGGGCGGGGGGTGGAGGAACCCCGCGGATCAGCCCCCGCTCAGCCCCCAAACCTAGATCAGCCCCAATGCCAGCTTCTGTTCTTGCCCTGCCTCGGGATTGCAGCGCCCCTCGCACACGATATAAAAGCGACGCTTTAGTCTAATCTGCGGTGAGAGACCCCCCCAGCGGGTCGGGCATCCAATAACGACACCATTTTAGAGAAGTTCCTTTCCCTCTTCCGATAATATTCAGCACCTGGAGGGCTCCAGCACGTTTGCTGTCCTCGTAGCCTACTGACAACCCCCCTCTCCTTCAGCAAGTGCAGCCCTAAAACCAGCGGCCTTTCTCCTGTCCCCCGAAGGCTCCGCCGCCCTTGCGCCCTCTTCTGCCCTCGCTCCTCCCCCCCCGGTGCTTTGCTGTGGCTCATCTCTTACCTGGTTTGGCTTTGTCACGCTTATTCTTGAAGCCAACACCTGCGTATCAGAGGGGAGGCTTTGCATTTCGGCGGGGAGGCACTAACATCGCCTCCCGTGTCAGGAGAGACCCCCCACCCCCCCACTTCCTCCCTTGTGTCTATTAGCGCGAGTCCTGGCCAGGAACTTTCGCCTACTTTTGCCATCATGCCCCGCGAAGCGCTCGGGGTGTCAAACGCTCATCTGCTCTTCTTCTCCCGGGCTTTTCCATCCCTCCCTGCTCTTGGGCCAGCGCTTGCAAGGCCGCTTCTTCCACTGCACTGAGCGCCCCAGGGTCCCCTCCTCCCCCAAAGCCGCCGGTTACCTAGAGACACTCTCTGCGCCTTCAAACATGCAACACTCCTCCAGACTGCAGCCGCTGAGCCAGGAGCACAGAGCCTGGAGGGCTGTAAATTAGGAAGGAATAACTACCCTTGTCAAAGAGCCTTTCTTCCTCCTTACACTCTACATTCAGCCCCAAGTGACCCCCCCCCCGGGTAATCTGAGGAGGAAACCGTGAAATGCTCCATTGTGATTGTGGCTCTTCAGCTGAGTTTCGAAACCTTCCTTTACCCCGGGAGGGACCGCGAAGGGGAAGCGTCACTGAATTAAAGTTTCAGCTGCATGTCGAGTAGCGGCTAGTTTGTAATTTAATCGCTACGTAACTATCAAACCAACCCACGGAACTCCAGCAAATAGCGCGCAACTTCAGTCAATTTCATCTCTGAGCGGCCCCGGCCGCTCTCTGTTTCTCAGCCTCTCGCTCTCAGTGTGTCATCATTGGGACAAGAAGAATTTAACATACAACAGTCCCCACGGAGAAAAAAAAGAAAAGGAATGGAAGAAGCTAATAAGCTGAAGCAGGCTGGAGAGAATTCCCGTGACTAATTCCAGAAGTTTATTTGAAAGTGACGCTCGCAGGGGACCCCCCTCCGCCCCCCTAAAAATAGCATTTTCCGCCCTTTATTTGGGAAAACTTTGGGAGTTAAATCCTTTAGCTCAAAATAAGGTGAAAACCAAACAACACTTCTCAACAACGTCAGTTAAGTATTAAAGTTTAGACGATCCATACCGCCACCGGGACAGCGCAGTATCGCGATACTGCAGACCAATAGCTGCCCACGATATACCACACTTGAATGCCCAGTATACAACATGTTATGGATTCTTTTAAAGACAGGCGCTGTTGCACAGTTAGGAAGAGAGACAGTTATACAGCGAGTTAAGGCAGCGAGTGAAATGCAGCTCCTCTGTACTGTGACACACGTGCTGGGTCTGTATAGTAAGTAATTACAATCTATGACCTCCAAAGGGAAAAGTGCAAATTTCTTAGGAGCATCTGCCAGGCAGACGTGCCTAGCAAAGATCCCATCTCATTTCATTACAATATGCCACATTCCAACAATTACCTCTTCGGCGAACTCTTCCAGCAGTTTGTTTGTTCTCTCCTAAAGCGAGATCAGATCAACCTGCCCTGCAGTCCCTATTCGTCCTAACTTGCACAAACAAAACCACTTATTTCCCAAGCACAGTTAAAGGAAGAGACAAATTACTCAAAAAGAAAAGGAGTACTTGTGGCACCTTAGAGACTAACGAATTGACTGCCATTCTTCGCTTCACCCGAGCTCCAAACTCCCCACCGCCGGCGGCAGCATCATTTCCATGACAACAACTAGCAGAAATACCGTAGTTTTCGGCTGAGGCTTCTATTTCAGAAACCCAGCTCTCCTGTTTAGGAGAGGAAAAGTCTCAAGTACGGGCTAACAAAACAGCATCAAATATATATCCACCCAGGACAGAAAGGAGTAAAAGTTCCAGGGTACAGCCCCCAGCATGTTAGATTAGTAACACTGGTGTTCATCACAAACAGTTGTCATTTCAAGAGCAATATAACCGGCAGCACAACTTTTACCAAGTCCATCCACATTCTCTCTCTCCCATTCATATATACATACTTGATTGCTGTGGCGGTTCCGTCTTTACATCTAGTTTGTAAATGCCCGTTTCCTTAAATGTGCATGTAGGCTCCGTCCAGTGGCAAAATTATAAAAGGCAAACCCAAGAGGTTCTTGGAGGCTGTACAGCTGGAGGCTGCGCTATCCCGAGTCATGGGAAAGGATTACGGAGGCTCGAGAGACCAGGAGCTGAGAGGAGCCTGCTGCTGCTGCTGCTGCTGCTGCTGGTGGTGGTGGTGCTCCGGAGTGGAGCGTGTGTGCGAGAGAGTGAGTGATGACCAGCCAGCTGCAGCAATGTGCCTTTGTTTATATGCGCTGGCTCAGCGAGAGAGATCTGCCTCTGCCTCTGCCTGGGTCTCTCTCTCTCTGTCTGTCTCTGTGTGTGTGAGGCGAGAGAGGAAGGAGACTCCTCTGCCGCTGCTCTCTCCCTCTCCCTCTCTCTGAACGTCATTTATGTGAGAGGAGCCCTAGCGGCCTCGCCATAGAGCGACTGGAATGCGAGACGTCAATAGTGACGCCATGGGAGCCTGACGCTACTGCCCACCCCCGCGCGCCCGCCCGCCCGCCCCAGACTCTGTGAGTCTCTCCCTCGGTACAGTGCGGCGCGTGCGAGAAAGCCCCGGCCCCGCACCTACACTGCCGGCATCTGGCTGCGACGCTCTGCTTAAATTTTCAGACTGCTGTCAACCTGCGAGACGTTACCAGGAGGGGAGAGGGAGGATATGGCTGGCAGGCTGGGTCTGAGTGCAGGAGGCGCGGGAATGTTAGTGGCAGTGTAGATATTTATCAATAATATCTATGGCCAGGATTAAGAATTAGAGCAATGCCTTATGCTGTTACTGCACACAGGAGCATTGCTTAACCGTATATATTTCAGGACAAAATAAGAGAGTATTTAATAAGGTAAAGTTCAGACGACACTTTGGACATGTAAACCGCGCTTATTATTGATGACGATTAAAACTGTTTAAGAGAAAAAAGTAAAAGGAAACTTTTTAAAGTGTAGGAACAAGGCGCAGGTTCTGAAGGATCTCATTATACCCGGCTGGGTCTCTCTGCTCGGGTCACAAACCAGTCACTTCGGGAAACTTCATCAGGACTCCTCGTTGTTTTTGCTTATAGGTGTAGCTGTAACTCAATTCGCTTTCGCTCTAGCTGGGCTCTCAGTTATCCATTGTAACAAATGATTGTTGCTCTGTCTGATTTTATGTTTGCTCGCGTCTTCGCAAGGTGAATGAGGGTAGCCTCAGGAGGAGGCTTTACTTTCTTTTCATAATAATTCTCCATATGGTGGATTAATTTGCACCCAAACAAATAAGAGCTGGACATTGCAAACTGCATAGAAAATACAAATTTGAATGAAACAGCTGCGGCTGCTGCTCACACACATGCAGGGACGAGGAGGGAGTGAAAGAAGAGACGCCGATCGCACTTTCACTTTGTTTAGGCTGGATTCACGATCCTCCTTCTCCTCTGGTGTCTATATTACACAATTCCTGGGAACTAAATGGGTTTCTGCACTCAGTCCTGTGAAGCTGGTTTTCTTGCTTTTCCTCTCCGGAGGGAGGGGTGCAGTTCTGATTTGAAGGAGACATGGGTTGGCTTGCTATTGGGGGGGGGAGGGTGTCTTTGTGAATCCGTGTGTGCATGCGGGTAAGAGTCTCACTGAAACAAGCGGAGCTTTTAATATGTAACTTGCAGTGAGTCCGGGACCAGAAGTCTACCGGGGCACTGCTCAGCGCCCCCAGCCCTCGATCTCCTATGTCAGTGTCACAACCCTTCCCAATCCATCTCACAGAGGGAGCACTTGGGCTCCAAGCGAGGAATCCGGCCGCAGGCGGTTACCCAACACTAGATATTTTTTCTACTTTCTTAAACAGCGAGCCCCTTTCGGAGCCAATCAGAGGGCACACGTCACTATGGAAAGCCGTCCTCTTGCCGGCGCGCCCAATCCCCGCACACGATGCGCCGGGCTCCATTCCAAGGGGCGGGACCCAAGACCTGACGCACAAGAGGCGCGTGATTGACGCAAACTGTGTTGCTAAATTTAGCCTCTGGGCTGTGTAAGCCGATTGCGATCGCGCGGGGGAGGGGGCGGAGCCCATTGAGCGGCGGCGGCGGCGGCGGGCCGGGCGCGCGCGCGCGGCGCGCGGTGCTGGGGCTATTTTGGGTCCCTGCTTTGATCCGGCCAAGCCAAATATAGCTGCAGCCGGGTATTTATAGCCCTGGCGAGTCCCATTGTCATGAGGGCCGCGCCCCCGCCTGGCTTCCTCGGGGCGGGGGACCTCAGGGATGGAGCCCGCTCACCAGCGAGCGCTGCTGCGCCCTTGCTGCCCCCCCGGGCTGCCGGCCGCGGTGGGTCGGGGGCCGGGCCCCTGCACCGGGTAGTGCCGCTGCCGGCAGCAGCAGGCGGAGAGCCGGGCTGGCCTGCGGGCTGCTGGGTGCCGCCCAAGGGGAAGCTGGAGAAACTTCCCGGCAAGAGGCGCCTCGGCAGCCTGGCGCGCTGCACCGTTTCCCACCGAGCGCCCAGCCCGCTGTCAGGCTGGCTGACGCGGTGCCCCGGCGCGGGGGCGGCCGGTGATTCCCCGCTCGGGAATGCGTAGCGCCTGCGGTCACCTGCCCTCCCCGGGCGCCGGCCAAACGCCCCGCGCTGGCCGCCTGGTGCTCAGGGCGGGGGGAGCCGGGACCCCACCTGCGCCGCCCTGCGGGCAGGGCGCGGACTCCGTGCCAAGGGCTGCCCCGGCCGGGCGCTGTGGGGATACCCCTGCCTGATGCAATGGAGCGGAGCAGGGGGCGGCGGCGGGCTCGCATAGCGGAGCGGTGACCTCACGGCAGAAGCGGCGGCTTGTTGGGAGCCCCCGCCCGCCTGTTGAGTAAGCGCGCTGAGATGTGAAAATGCCATGACGGGCCGGTGCGCTCATCCCCGGGGCTGACAAGCCGCAGACTAGGGGAGATTCCCTTTGATGCGCTCCCTGTGTGGGCGGCCCAGGGCAGAGGGAACTGGTGGCACTTTCCGCCCGCCGTTCCCCCCTGCACAGCCGCGATAAAAATACTTCGCTTTCCATGTTGTCATCTGCCTACTCGTCCCGGTGTGCCTGGCTGTAAGGGGAACTGGAGAGAGTGCGCAACGCCCGCTGCCCGGCGGACGGGCTGCGGCGTTGCCTGATATTTTCCTCAACCCAGTTCCGGAGTGACCCCGATTCCCTTTTGATTCCCGTAATTCCTCCCCTTGATTACAGCCTTCCCCCCGGTCCCCTAGTTTAGAGAGACATCTTCAACTGGGAAATCAGGTTTCTGTACCTCCAATATTCACAGATAACTCCTAAAATAACAATCAGTGACAGAGGTCGGCGAGCGAAGAAATCTGCATGTGTTCAGTTTGCTTACTTGTCAAGTCTGACAGCAGCCTGGGTATAGAGCGCGCCCCTGCGCTTTCGGACCGCTCAATCTTAGGTTCTTCCTTGTTGAAAAGATTGTTCTACAAAGCAGGGGCAGAAAAAGCCTTATTAATGTGTAGAGGATTTTAAAATAATTCAGGACATCCTGTTTGAAGGATATGCTACCATTAACTGGATTTTGGGGGGGAAGGGGGAGTTTCAAAAAGTCAAGTTGATGTGTCCCTTGAAACACTTGAGGCCAAGTTCCTCCTTGGAGTAGTGAGTTTGTAACCTGCTATTTGGAATTAATCTCTGCTACCCTGCAGTCAATGTAGTTATACCCAGGGAAACTTTCGTCAATTTTGTACAAATGTATGCTAGTGCTTTTGAAACACTTGAGAAGGAGGGGACCTGTTCCAGGCAGCCCTTAGTATTTGAAGACAGACAAGTGAACAAAACTTAGGGGAAAGGGAACAACAACAGACCAGTTATATAATATTTATATACAAGTCAACTTGATTCATTGTAAGCAGCATGGAGGAAGTGGGCCTGGAAGAGGGACTTAAATGTAGGGGCTTTGTGAATGAGCTCAGTGACTGCCTTTCTGTGCATAAGGGGAAAGTGGAAAAAGGAGGGGGAGACTGGTGAATGGGTAGACAAGACTGGAAGTATTGGGACAATGAAGGAGACAGGAGGCAGCACAAAGCTTGATCAGGGACGGTAAGTAGGAAGGGTGGAGTTCTGTAGAGCTGAGGGTGATAAGGGGAAGCTTCAATATGATGTAGTAGACTAGGGTGGGGAGCAAGTGGAGGGATTCACTTTGTTTTTCCACTCATGTATTGTACAAATAACTTTGCTGTGATAAGTTTAACTGTTGGGTAGATATTTCTTATTTGAAGTGGCTGTTGATTGCTCCAAGAGCCGATTAAAGCATAGATTGTCTAGGTCCATTCCTAGGCCCCAAGCTCCTGGAATCATTTGACTAAGAATGTCAGCTTTCTTTCTTTTTTTTTTTTTTTTTAAAGTAAATGCATAGCCCTGGTAGTGGTGAAGAAAGGCATGAATACAGGATATGATTCTAATTGAGACAGTGACATATGCCTGAGTCTGCAGACAGCCTGGAACCGTATCACTGAGACGGGTGAACTACCCCATGTGTTTCAGTGATCTGTTAATGCTAACACCAACTGCTTTAGGGGACCCTGACAACACTAGTCCAGTGAAGGACCCTGTACGTGGCAGGAGGAGAAATGTGCAGTAAGTCCCACCCACCCAAGCAAATATAATCTAGCTGCTGGAATAAGTACTGGAACCCCCCTACTATAACCTCTGCCTTTCTGGGGCTGGGAGAAGGAGAACCCATGCTACCTCTTTGGGAGGGGAGGGAGGTTATCATGCCAACTGTATCTCAAAGCAGGAAGTGTGGTCAAGGATAAGGCTGTGTGGGTGGAACTACAGTTTAAGCCCATGGGCTGTGCAGGGGCAATTACTGCCCAAAGAGTGAATTTCTGAGATAAATTCAGGTGATTGAAACCAGGGGTTTATAACTGTTATAAATATGTTCTGATTGCTTTAACCACAATAGTTCTGCCCACACAAGAGTTGATTTGGATTTGAAGAGGCCAGGACCAGATATGTTTCAGATATGCAAGCACACCATCTTATTTAATAAGATGATGCATTCACAGGGATCTTAATTTAAGTAAGTGTATTATTGAATAATGACACAATTCTGAATGAAATCCCTACTGGCACTGTATTGATGGTGGAGAATGGTGAACACACACTCATAAAATATGTTTTGGCATAAGCTTTAATCCTCACATAAACACAGTTCTGTTTGATGGAGTCAACTTTGAAAAAAAGAGAGACAACGCTCATCCTTGCCTGGGAGAAAGACTAGTATCTATCCAACAGGTGGCTGGCTTTTTGTGAAATAGCTGCTGTGCAGAGTTGGGTTGCTGCTGTTCAGTGCCAAGGAGATGGCACTCTCTTTGAATTACAACTAATAAAATAACAAATATTCTTGACTTTCTCTGTTAACTTATTCAAATTATTATATGACTTGTTCATGCCCTTTCGCTTCATCTGTTTAATAAACCTTAGCTCAGATCTTCAATATCCTGAAGGGACCAGAAAGTAACTTTTCCTACCAGAGGTGCTAATAACTCAGCTGGAGTATTACATGAACCCTGGTCATTGTTTGACTTTTAAAAAAAAAAAAAAATCTGTTTTATTTATCCAGCACATATTGAGTTTCTAGCTGACAGATACTTTTGGTTCATGCTAACAAGGGATAACTCCTCTAATTTACCAACTTTTAAATTAACACTTTCCCTAACATCTTTCTACTCGTTAGCAAAGCCCTCTAAGGTTAATCCTGTTACAATATTTTCCCATCACATCTGTTTTGCTTGCAACTGTTAAACTATATTGTGAATTGCCTTTTACATTTGTTACGTATCATCTTACTCTGTTTCATTTACTGTTCTCTCAGGCTATGTCTACACTATGGGCCATACAGCAACACAGCTGTACTGCTGCAAGGTCTCCTGTGTAGCTTCTCTAGCCGGCGGGAGAGAACTCTCCTGCTGGAATAATTAAACCACCCCCAACTAGTGGCAGTAACTACATCATAGGAGTGAGTCTCCCGCTGACATAATGCTGTCCATGCTGACAAAAGTGCTAGTGTAGAAAAGCCTCACTCTTTCCCCATTTTTGATTATCTATCCCCCTTTCTTTTTTCTGGATGGGTCTCTCATCACTTTTGTGCTTGATTAGCTAAGCTGTCTGCCTGTCTCCTAGAGCAGCCTGTCAGCAGCTCCGTAGCCTGGGATAACATTAAGGGTTCCAGATGATGACAGTGGGAGATTCCAATTAGATTCACAGCCCCTTTTACCTTAAGTAGCAGGGGGATAATTTTCTCACAGAGCAAATCAGTGGGATGCTGAGTTCTCAGTGTGAAGCTGTGTCAAAAGGGCTAGTGCGATCCTTGGATATATAAATGTGATTAGTGAGTAGAAGTAAGGACGTTATTTTAACTTTATACATTGATGAGACAGATACTGGAATACTGTGTCCAGTTTTGGCATCCACATTTTAAAAATGATGTTGACAAATTGAAGAGGGTGCGGAAAAGAGCCACAAAAATTGTTCGGCAGCTGGAGAAAATTCCATACAGTAAGAGACTTAAAGAACTCTGTCTTATCAAAAATAAGACTGAAAGGTGACTTGATTACATTGTAAAAGTATCTTCATGGAGAAAATATCAGTATTAAAGGGCTCTTTACTCTCGTAGAAAAAGACACAACAAGAACCAATGGCACTGAAAGTAAAAGTCAGACAAATTCAAATTAGAAATAAAGCACAGGTTTTTACCCGTGAGAGTGAGTCACCATTGGAACAGATAACTAAAATAAATGGTGGATTTGACATCTCGTGAGGTCTTAATTAAGACTGGATGCTTCACTGGAAGATATTCTTTAGCCAAACACAAATTATTGGGCTCAGAACAGGGGTAACTAGGTGAAATTCTATAGCCCGTGTTCAGTGCTTAAAGTGATCTGAAAAAAAGTGTGTGTGGGGACTTCTATCACAATCTGGGATTGGCAGCATTGGTAAGAAAAAGTGCTTAAAGTGCACCCATCAGCAGCCGTGCTTGATTTAAAAACTCCCCCTGACCCTTTGCAATTCCTCCCTGCTCTGCTCCGCTCCCCTCCTTTCCCCACTTTAAGCATTGCTTGTGCTACACAGGAGGTCAGAGTAGACGATAATCTGATGGTTCCTTCTAGCCTTAATATCTATGAAACTGTGAAACCCCTAAAAAGCAGGCACCTCAGATACTTTGGTAGGGCTGGGCAATGCATCAGAATTCTCGTAAATACACTTCTCAAACATATCTTAGTTCTCTAATGCTGACACAGGAATCTCTCTTTTTTTTTTTTTTCATCCTCTGCAGACACAGAAAGCGGGACAGTGTTGCCAAGTTTGGTTTGTTGTTTCTATAATAAGTGAGTTTCGGAGGTAATGGCTTGTTAGGCCAATCCACCCTATCCGACTCACAGGAATGGCGTGTTGCATGTTCATCTTTTATCTGCCTGTTAGTAAATTAATATTTCTTCCTTGTAATCTTCCTGTATTTTTTATTTGTATAGTTATAGCTATTTTTGCGAGGAGCCAGTGTGGCCCAGTGGATAGGGTGTGAACAGGACTCAAGAGATCTAGTAGATTCTATTTCTTGCTTTGTCACTGGCCTGCTATGTGACCTTGGCCAATTCACCTCACTTTTCTAGAACTCAGTTCACTGTCTGCAAAATGCCACTTCGAAAGGTGCTTTTGGAGTTAGGGATAAAAAGCATCATATAAGAGCTAAGTATTATTATTAGTTATTAGTTTATACATAGGACCAAAGATCCCTTAAATTATAGACATTCCTTATTTTCTTATCTAAATAAGTTTACCTAAGCACCTATTATATCTGTTTTCCTTTCATGTTTGTCACAGTCAAAAGGTCACAGTTGGGCTGTGTGATTTTATGTCATAGGTCAAAAGGGATTAAACACCAACAGAAATCTTTCTTTCACTGGGGCTAATATGTAAGGAGGTGGTGAATCAGCTAAAATAAATTGTCAACTGAATGGATGAACTAGTTCTAGTTCCTTTCACTGGATTGTATGTACAGAGCCAGATCAAGGCATAGGCAATATAGGCCTGAGCTAGGAACCTATCTCCTAGAACCACATGATAAGGACAGAATCTCTGCTTTCATTTTTAAAAAAGGAACTTTCTAGCTCATATGATTGTGAAGAAATTCTTGAAAGTGATGCCGCTATCTCTTCCTGAGTCTGCAGATAGCTTGAAGCTGAAATTGCAGGGTGTGGACTGCCCCATGCATCACAATGAGATGTGAACTTCCAAATTCATGGTTTAGGGGTGACTGGCACATCAACTCAGCAGAGTAATTTAGATGCAGCAAGAGGAGAAGAGAAGGGCAGTGGCCCCGCCTAGCCACCCAAGCAAATACAGTCCAGCTGCTGGACTAACTATTGTGTGGATTCTGTGCTGCCAAGCCTGACTCTCAGCAAGGGAAAGGGGGGGTTCTTGCTGCTGCTGTCCCTGCTGCTCCCAAGAGGAGGGGGCCCCTGCTGCCATTCCTGGGAGGAAAACGGGGCCCCAGGATTCTGCCTCTACTGCTTTAGGAAAACAGCTATGTCTTGAAGTGAGCCCTGGAAGTCAACAGATCTGGGCTTTGTCAAACCAAAGGGGAGTTGAGTTCCTGAGTCAAGGACCCCTAGTTGCTCTTCCATTGAAACAAGTGAGCTGTGAGGCTGAGTGCCTCATCTGATTGTACCAGCAATGGTAGAACATGAGTAGAGAGACATCATCTAAGGAACCTGGACACAAATTTAGGACTTTATAAAGGACAAGACCAACACCTTAAACTGCACTCAGAAACTAGCTGTCAGCCAGTGCAGATCATGGAGCTCAAGTGCTTTCTGTGAGAAGTACCACTTAAGTCATAACCAGCTATATTATGCGCCAGCTGATGCTTCTAAATGGTCATCAGGTATAGCTCCATACAAAATAGAATGCAGTAATCCAGTCTTGGAGGGACAAAGGCATGGATCATTGGGGCAAGGTCTGCACCAAAAATAGCACCTCAAAAACATCTAGGTATAGATTTTAAAACAGTACTCTTGGCCACTGCTGCTACCTGGACATCTAGAGCAGCCACGGGGTCCAAAATTATACCCAGATTGCAAATTTGAATACAAACAGCAGAAAAATGAGTGGGAAGATACCATTTTTGCCTCTTCTGATTGCTCCCCAGAGTTTATCAGCATTACATAGGAAGATAGGAATTGCAATACTGGATCAGACCAGCAATCCATCTAGTCCAGAGTCCTGTCTCTGACAATGACCAGCAACACATGCTTCAGAGGATGGCACAAGAACCTGCATTAGGCAGATCTGAAATAATCTGCCCCCCACATAGGTCTCATTCTGATATCTAATATTTAGAGATTGACTTAAACCTTGAACCACAAGATTTAATAGCCCTTCCAAAATTTTTATTGTTGTTAATTATAACTCTGGATAGTCTTGATAGCCATATAAACATCCAATCCCTTTTTGAATCTTGTTACATTCTTGGCCTTAATGACTTACTGTGGCAATGAGTTCCATAGCTTAATTACATATTGTGTGAAAAATAAGTAATTAAGCTTGATTGGGTTGTGAATTTCCCACTTTTTAATTTCATTGAATTTTCCCTTGTTCTTGCATCATGAGACAGGGATAACAGAAGCTCCCAATCTACCTTCTCTATATCATTCATTATACCTTTATCATGTCCTCTCTTATTTCTCGTTTGTAAGGTAAACAATCCCAATCTTTCCAATCTCTCTTCATATGAGAGCTTCTTCAGCCTTTGATCATTCTCATTGTTCTTCTCTGAATCTCCTCTCGTTCAGCAATATCCTTTATTAGATGGGGTAACCAGTGCTGCACACAGTATTCACATGAGGCATACCACTGATTTATATAAAAGTATTACTTCCTTATTCTTATCTGGGCTGACTATCAGCCAGCTAAACCATTTCTCAGCCAGATGCTGGGCAAATTTCTCAGCTTCACCATCTGGGTCCAATGGAATGATGATGTAAAGCTGAGAGTCATCTCATATGGGAAACACTGCAGCTCAAGCACATGCAATATCTTCCCTCTTATATATATATACTGAACAAAGGAATAGTAAAATAGAATCTTGTCAAACCTCACTTGAGAGAGCCTTTTGTGCAGGCCAGTAATAACACTCTACTGCTCTCAGGGAACACTCAAAGGCAACTCCATCTACTCTGCTGGAATCCATAGATGGGTCAACCACACTTCATGGCCAACACACGCAGTAACAATTGATGGCTATAAAAGAATCATAATGGACATTTAATCTTGTCCAAAAGGAGATTTTTTCCAGCACTGCTGGTAAAGTCTTGGTCTGTATGGTACCCAGGCCTAAAACTGGAAATGGGTAATGGAAATCTGGGGAGTCCTGGTATCAACAGAGCTGTCCATTGCAATGTTCTTGATCAACTTTCCAAAATAGAGAAACCTGAGACTGAGCAACCTTGATGGGATTGGTTACTTGAACTGGAGAAAAAGTTTTTAAATAATATTTAAATAATGATAGCTCCTACCATTGGCAACCTCATTCAAAACCAGAAAGACATGGATTCAATTTTTAGCCCAAAGCTCCTCCAGCAGTTCCGGACCTCTCGTTACCTGAAATACAAAAAAAAGACTCAGTACATGCTGATAACTTGATCCAGATCTGAGTCATCTTAACTATAAAATCACTTGAAAACTTCTCATAGCATGAAATAACCTACTTTGTTAGAGACCAGATTAATTAGGCTATTCACTGCTCAGACCAGTTCTACCAATCAGGAGTTCATAGATGCTGTAGTGGAGTTTGATGAGACCATTCTTCTTCTTGTGCATAACCACAGCTTGAACTTTGAAAGATCTATATGCCACAATTGGTCTTCCCTTTTGTTTCAAGATAGTGAAGTCCTATAAGGTTATCTCTAATTTCTATGATTCTTTAAATGAAAAGACTAGTATGTGTATTTACATGTATTATTTAAAAGTCCACATAGTCCATGTACGCTAATGAAGATGTAAACAAATTACATAAAGGATATTGAATGTCATTTATCAACAAAATGATGCTTTGAATAATCTTTTATATATTTCACAAAGCATTTTCATAAATTTCTGTAAGAGAAGAGGAAATGAGAGTTGATTGTTATCATGCTGCATGTAAGTTTGGGCAGTTGTCACTATGCATACTTCAGAATTTTAGGCAATTTTCTTCAGCAATGCTCATTCCATTTTTGGCAGTCTGATGCTTTCATGTATTTAGTTATTAAATGATTCTGGTGTTTTCACTCTAACAAAATTTCTCACTGGTCATTCCACATATTTATGGCTAGTGCAGGAAAAAGTGCTTCCTGACATCTGTTCTGAATTAGTTCTCTTTTCCAGTTATGCCCTTCTGTGTTCATAATTTGTGTGATGAAAATAGTAACTTAGATTTACAATATTTGTACCATTTAAGGTTTTATAAAATTAAATTAAGTCTCCTTACTGCTTTTCTAAATTTAAGATCAAGAAATTATACCCCTTTCTCAGTTTATATGTTTTAGTAATGAGATGTACCTCATTCATTGTACCTTTATCATTCATTGTACTTTTTTCCCATCATGATATTGTCTAATGACAAGAACTGAACTCAATATTTTAAAGGTATTTTATTAAAAATTATTTAATTTCATGATCTATTTATATATATCTCTATATATAGTTCAGTTGTTTTTTATTTGCTTCTTCATACTACAAACATTTTTAGAGGACTCCACATTATCTAAAGGTTTCTTTTAAAGTCAGCCTACTCAGTTAAATTTTATAAATTGTCTATATTTGTTGATAAGTATGGAATGTATGCACCACTTTTTGATTTTTCAACTTCACCATCTCAGCTATATAGATTAAATCCATTTATTTTATTTCCTTTATGATGTATTACTTGTGTTAAAATATTAGTAGATTTAAATAATTTCACCAATGTCATTATAAGTGATAAGCATCAGGTGGTCAAGTACTAATATTTGGAAACCCGACTTAAAAGTTCTTCCCATCTGAATGAGTCTTTTAAAGAGATTCTACTCTTTTTTTCATTTTCTCCTAAACTGGATTAGGCTACCGTATTTTACTATGTTTGAATATGGTTGTGAACAATTGAGTTAGATTATTCAATATTGGTAATGACTTTGGGCCTATCCACACTACAATAAATTAAAAAACAAAATAAAGCTCTAGTGTAGATGAGGCAAATTATACTTTAGAACATTAGCTGGTCGAGGTGAACCCTAGGTTCCCTCTACTGGTCAGTGAAGTCAGGGACTATTTACTGTTTCCAGTATTGTGGTTTAAATTAATAATTTAGCTAGATACTAAATATCTGTAACCCATTAGCTCCCCTCCCCCTCATTTTCTTTTGTCCAGTGACTGTAGAGGTGTTAACTGGCCAGTTCACCTTGAGTGGTCTCTTATAATACGTATTAACTGCTTATGCTAAACAACCTATTCCACGTTGTCATTCTGTGTCACTCTGAGTATTAGCTGTGTCACTCTGAGTACCTATCCCAGACCTGAAGAAGAGCTCTGTGTAAGCTTGAAAAGTTGTCCCTTTCACCAACAGAAGTTGGTCCAGTAAAATACATTACTTCACCAGCTTCAAGATTAAATATGTTTACTATTGTACCAACTAACTTGGTTGTTTACAACTCTGTTCAAACACTGTAAAATGCTGTAGTGTAGAAAATTCTTCATCCTTTTGCTTTAGCTCAATAAGCAGAGCCAGGACATGAGACAAGGCTAAAATGAAACTTGCCTTTAGTGACCACTCAAAGGACAGACAAAAACTGGAGGTGATTTTTAAATAAAAGTGTGGCTGAACAGTACTTATTACGATTGGTGATACTGAGGAGGGGCAAGCCCGGTGTGTGTGTGTGTGTGGCGAGGGGGGGGATATGCAGTGTTTTAAGACAGTAGGCTGCCTAATACAGTTTCACTGTATTTAAAAAATTGCAAACTGAGGTCCCATCCTTCAGCTGTATGGAGCCTTATTGCAGTCTATGGGATGCTGCACCAGCTCATAAGGCCCCTCATAACTATCCAGTTGTGGATTTGAGGCCTATTTTATGTGTAAATCCTATACTTATATTTGGAAAAGAGACAAGCAATCTTATTTCTCTTTAATTTACTGAAAGAATCCCTCCAAGCATTTTCAATCATTTTGATGTCATATCTAAATAATCTGGTTGATTTTCTACATTTGCTTGTTGAGGTTTTCTGGTATACGTCTCTTGAATTTAGCAATGTTTATGGTTTCAAAAGGCCTATGGAGTCTGCTCCGAAGGGCACGTTAAAATATGTTGATAGTAGTCTATTAAATAGGTGGATCTCTGCCTGTATTTCCTTTAGCACTGTTAAGATATTAGACACATTGTATTCCATCTGGTCTTGAAGGGTGATAATTGGTTCTTCCGAGCTGTTTTGAGAACTGCCCCAGAAATGCTGAAGTCATTCAGGACAATTAACACATAGCTAATGGCAGTATCATTAGCCTAGCTTTAAAAGATTTCTTATTCCTTTTACATAACACATGTAATACATTTAAAAGTACGATGATCCCTTTTCCATAGAAGTAAAACTACTCCTAAGAGATATATTTATTCCTGGATGAATGAAGGTAGACAGATGACCCCGTTCCATTCTTTATGGCTTTGTAATATTAACTAGGAATTTAAAAATAGTGCAAAACTATGTTTTTAATTTTGTTCAAAATGTGAAGTTACAAAGTGGATAGATATAAAGAGAGAAATATACATATGCCAGTATTGCCTACTTTCACAATTTTGTCATGAATCTTTCATTATTTGGTGTTTTTCTTAAAGTCCAGGTTCCTGGATTCAAAATATTTTGTATGATTCTTGGCTTTCATTTTTTTGAAAAAGTAATACACCTAGCCCTCCATAGTTACAGAGAAAATAGTGAGTGCACTCTGAAGGGTCAGAAGGCAAATAATGCTAACACTGTTTTACTTTTAAAAATCTCATGGTTTTTAAGCCACTCACATGATTTTATGAGGCCTGAGTCATGATTTTTGAACATATGAGACTGACAACACTGATATAATATTTCATGAGCTAAAGTATCATTCACAAGGGATAGAAGAAAGCAGAGGCACTGATCATTGTGCATGTCATCCCCTAGGCAGTGAGTCTATTTTACCCAGAGACATTTTAAAATATTTACAAGACATAAGGATGTTGCCTACTGTAATCTCTTAGTGTGGGCGTGTGGGGATACTGCATGCTAGTCTCGTTCACAGAGTGAGGTAGGGGGGCAAGCCTGTCCTGGTTTCAGATATATCCTTCCACCAGTCCCAGAAATTGGCAGTAGTCATTACTCCCCTCATCTCCTATGCCTGGCCTCATGCTACGGTTGGAATCAGCCCAATAGCAGCAGCTTGTCTGAGCTGCATACCAGGGATGCTGCGTGGGTCCCATGGAAGCCTGCTGCTGTCTTGTGCTCATGTGACAGACCCAAAGAATCTGGTGTTGGGGGAGTGGAGAATTTCTAGGACTGGTACAAGCAGGGTCCGTGACAGTGACTGTACAGCCTGGTGTTCTGCCCAAGCAGCAACAGCACAGCTGAAAACCACGTGGTGGAAGTGGAGGCTGCAGAACAGGTGGTAGCAGCTCCCAGAACTGATAGTTTGGAAGGAGAGAGAAGGTGGAAGCATCATCCCAGAAAGGAGCTGTAGGTTGATATAATTGGGAGGTGCTTCCTTGAGCTAATATCACACACTACTGGTGACGAGTATTCTCCCAGGGGTGCTTCTTTATACCTCCAAGCACCTGCTTTATTACATATAAGAGCTAGTTTCTTTGGAAGAGTATTGAATTGAGGCTAGTAAAAGCACTGCTCTCTCCAGTTCCCAAAGGCCCTTTAAAATATGTGTACATCATGGGCATGCAATGCAAGAGTCTGACAATGGAGCCAGAGAGCTAGAGCCCAGCACTAACTGCCACTCTCTCTAGCAAGATTTTTTTTCTCTGGGCTCAAGTCTACAACTGTCTCTTATTGAGAGCCTTTGAGGTGCACCTCTGGCGATGAAGGAGGAATCATAAGCCTGTACATAATAGCTAGGAGCTGCCAAAAGGGACATAGCATTGCTCCATATAAAAGTAAAAGACTTGGCTCTACGGTAGAAGTGTACTTAGCTAGATGATGTTATGCAAAAAACCTCCATTTTTATTTGGGACATCACTTTCTGGGCTGAAATGTACATTTTATTCTCCAGTCACTAAGCTCAGACTCCATTTTGTCACTCATAAATCACAAAGTTAGTAACCCTCAAAGGGAATACATTGAGGAGACAGAGAATGTCTGTACATATGTGAAGAAAGGCAGCTTTTAAGGATTCAACTGTACAGCAGTTTCTGATTTTAAAGAAAGTTTCAGAGACAGCAGATTACTCTTCTAAAAGAATAAAATATTTTAAAAAAGGTCTGGGGAAGGGAAGTCATCTGCTTGCTGAAGAAAAGTTTTTAAGCTACTTTAGGATGGATTTAGGTAATAATACAGTTAGCAAAGACAGAGTTATATATAGTGAAGCAGCATAGTTTAAACTGGAACAGTGTTTTCCTACCGACGTAAATACAAAATAATTGTAGGCACTGTGGGTGGCTTTCTTAACCGAGAGATTGTTTTACGGAAGATTCATCCCCCTGCCCACACACACTAGTACACAGCTACAACACTAAAACGCAAAAAGCTATACAGTTTTCCTAGAGAGGGGTCACTCAAGAGCAATGCTCAGATATAGTACTGAATTAATCATAACCAGTGACTGTCACACTGGTTTTTGCATAGAGGTAACTATAACCTCAACACTGGGAGAATGAGGAAGAGGAGAGAAACAGTTTTGAAAACCATGCCACTCTTTTGTGGGCTACAGGCACTTTGCTGCTGCTCTGGTTACCAGGATGATTTTTTCCCCTGCTACCTCTGATAATATTGTTGCACGCACAGAGCATTAGATAAGCAGAAGAGAAGATACTTAAATGATCACAAAGTGTACCCAGGAGCCTTTCATACCTCATCCCTCGCCAATGCATTCACAACGTATCTGACACCAATCATTTGGAGGAAAGGGAAGCAAAGTGACAGCCGGCAAAAGGCTGCCAGGCCCACTCAGCTAGTCTAGAGGCCAGGAGCACCCGGCCCGCTCCCCTCCCTGGTGCCTCTCATTCGCCCCGGGTTTCCCCAGCTGCAGCCTCACCAGCACGTTAAAGGAGAGCGGCACAGAAAGCGGCAAGTGAGTCACGCAGGTTCATGTCCCACCCCTGTCAGCTGGGGCCCCGCAGTCAGCGTGTGCGCCCCGCGCCTGGCCCGCAGGGGACGCCCCGCGCACCCCCCCGGGCCTGGCCCGGAGCCGGGGTGGAGGGGCGGCGGTAACTCGGAGTCCCGAGCTCGGTGTGCGGGGACCCCGCAGCAGGGCGCCGGGCGGGCGTGTCTGAGCAGCGCCCAGGCCGTGGCAGCAGCGGGCGCGCGGGGGCCCCTCCCCGCTTGCTGCCATGAGACTCGCAGCCCCTCCCACCCCCGCTCGAATTCCCGGGACCCGCGGCTTCGAGGAAAGAGAGGCGGGACTAGCGCCAACCCATCACGTGACATCCCTCAGCACCGCCTCCTGCCCGTCCAGTCCCGCCCCACGCAAGCGCGTGCGAGCGACACAGCAAAATGGCCGAGATCCCTGAGACCGGTACTTTCCCTCCCCTCTCGTCTATAAATAAATCGCGCCGTGCGTCTGTCACGTTCCCATTACGTACACGCACGCTGACGCACGGGGCGGCGTGCTCCGTGACGCAAGCACGTATCCCCCAAAGCTATAAATAGGCTTCCGGTGGTAGCAGCTAGGGACAGAGCGGTTGTGAGTTAGAAGCATCGGTGCGTGGGTGGGCATGACCGCTGGGGGCCGAGCCGCCCGGTTTCCATGGGGACCGATACTGGGGGGGCGCGCGGGCGCGCGCTAATTTATTCATGTCTCCTTCCCAAATAAGGGGGGCGGGAGCCCCGGCCGGGCGTGGTGAGTGGGGCTGGCCCTGGCCCTGCCAGGCTGGGGAAGGGGGTGCAGGGGCCTGTGGCGGGGCGGCTGCTCCAGCTGGGGGACAGCAGCGTCTCCTGCCCTTCCTGTGCTTGGGGGTCCCGCCTCCGGCGGGGATTGCGTCCCGCCCGTGCTGGTATTCCTGGGACAGGAGCGCTGGGGAAGCCCCCGCCACAGTCCGGGCCCTGGCCCTTCCCCCGGTGCTGGTACGCGCAGGGAACAAGGGGGGGCTAGCTCTGGGTGGGGGAAAAAGGAGGCGTTATCCCCCTTTCCAGAGCTGGGGAGCTGAGACACCGAGGCCTGGGCTGCCGCTCTCCTAGCTGAGTCGGGGGGCAGGAGAGAAGGGTATGTGTGTATTTACCAACATCCCTGGACAGGTGTAACCCCTCGTGTAGATGCAGTGATGGTGGCATAGAAGTGCCTGATGGCGTACTCCAGCGGGGAATAACTATGGGACCATGTGTATCCCATATAATTGTGCTCACACAAGGAGTTTGTACTGCTCTGACTATACCACCCTAGGTAACGAGGTGTAATTTGTGCACGTAGATGAGATCTAAGTGACTTGCTTAAAGTCCTGTCCAAAAAATCTGGCAGACTTGGAACCTGAACCTAGTTCCAATATTTTAATCACATGGCCACCTTTTTCATAGCACCTGTAAGCATGACGGGAACAACTAGATGTACTAACAATAATGTAAATAAACTTTATTTGTTTGTATATTTTGAAATGTAGGTTGACTTCTTAGTTCCTAATTTTGATTGTAAGCTCTTTGGGAAAGGAAGTGTGTTGATTGTATGTCAGTTAACTAGCTTACTGTTAATGTTAGCATAACGACTTTTCTTCCATGGACCCATATCTGTTCCTAGGGAGACCATAATAAAGTAAATCTAAATTAACATAACTTGGCAGCAATAAAAATTGTAGTTAATACCTGAAAATCTAAGCATTTTATAAATATTGTGGTCTTTTCCAAAATAGTACTTTTATTATTTTATATACTGTAGAATTTGTTTGGTTTGTTACAAGAAAACATTGAAAATTAATAAATTTTAAAAATCTGATTGTATAAGTCTTGCTTGGCTGGTCAGTCACAGGCCAATGCTTTGGGCTGGCAATTTGGCCACAGGTACTGTTGCTCTGGCCCCTGCCTCACTTCCCTAGTTTAGGACACCATCTGGCTAGTCTTGGTCAAATGAGTAACACAGTAAAACTACTTTTTCAATATAGGTTACAGATTACAGTATGAAAATATTTTATAGATGATTCAAGTGCTGTAACAGTGTAGCTCTTAACATGAGAATGTTGTTCAAATCTGTATAACAGATCACAAAGTTGTAAAATTCAACCTAGTACACAAGTGATACCTTGGTGCACTATTCCTTTATTTTATATTTATAAGAGCAGATTTGCTTTCCATACTCCTCCCCCCCCCCGTGAATTGTTTGTTTTTCAGACACGCCTCTTCTATCTCTAGGTTTAGAAAATGAAAATTTGGGGGAATTAAAAGAAAATATTTGCAGCTGTACAACCACCCCCCGTTCCCCCCCCAAAAAAACAAAACCAAACCCCTCAAGCGTCATGGTTGACTTGTTAAGGTGTCAGCTAGTATGACGCTGACTATATTTGCTCTAAAGCATAGCAGTATCTTCCACTACAGCTACATATTCTAAAGCATTCCACAGTGGAAGCTGTATTATATCAATCTTTTTCTTTCTCACCATAAGAAGTGAAAGAGCTATACACTTTGTGGAGTGATGCTAACAACATAAACACAGGGGTGTAAATTGCTGTGGGTTAATGATGTCACCTTTCAACTGCAGCTTAAGTCTGTAGTCATCCTTTACAGATGCCCTTTATTAATTTCTGGCCCTTCTGCTCTCTTCATCCTCCTGTCTCTTGTCCTTCCCCAACACAACCTGGGTTTCCAGTCTCCACTTTATATCTCCTTCCTTCCCCAGTGTCGTACTGTCTGGAGTGGCTCATGACTAAGTGCTAAACTCAGGGCAGTGTGCCAGAAGTAGGGCAGACTCCCCAAAGTGGTAGTATGTTCTGTAATTCGATTTCACCAACCCAGTACCTACTGTGAACGCCTGGATCACTGGAACAGTCTTACCATGGAGTCCTAGACAGTCCCCTTAGGCACATCATTCAAACTTGCCACCCAGGGTAGCTGGGCTTAGTAATGAATGGTTACTTATACTAAAGTCACAAAATATTCAGGTTGCTACCAGTCCCAAGAGACCAGTCACTTACCCCAGATCAATTTTTACCTTAGATTTCTCACCAATGAGAATGCTGGTAGCCAATTCTAGAATAAACTAATTGAGGCTTTATTAAGCAGGCAACATATATACACACAAGTGAGTTCAATGTATGGTTCCAAAAGGTGACAGAGGTGGTAATCAGTCAGCACTTACTCCCGAGCATGTTTGGTGTAAAAAAAAAAAAAATTCTGCAAATCTTATTTGTCAAATAAATGTGGAGGCTCCACCATGGCATTGGGGAGCGCAGGCCACTGGCTGAACGGAGGTGGGAGATCATTGTGCAGCTCCCCAGGACACAGACTCAGCAGTGGGGGTGTACCCAACCCTAATACAGTGCAAGGACTGGGCCTGCCCCTCTGTGCCAAGTGCACCAGGTGTGGATGGGCAGGCAGGCTCAGCAATGCAGGATCCAAGTGTGGAGCGGTTTAGGGTGCAGGGGGAGATCCAGGTGTGGATTGAGAGGGCAATCTGGGTGCAGGCAGCTCAGTGGCGGATCCAGGGGGGGAATCTGGATGCACAGAGACTTGTTGGGGGGTTCTGGCTGCAATGGTAATGGGACTCTGCAGGGGGTCCAGCTGAAGATGGTTAGGGCACAGCAGGGGGGGCTGGGCATGTGGGGTCTCATTGGAGGGTTCCAGATGCTGGTAGAGTGGGGCTCAGTGGGGTGGGGATCCATGTACAGTTGGTTGGGGCTTGGTAGGGTGGCAATCTGGGTGCAGGTGGCTTGTTGGGGTGGTCAAGGTGCAGGGGGAGTAGGGCTCAGTGGGAGGGTCTGAATACTTGAGGTTTGGGCGGATTGAGGAGCAGCTCCCTGTACAGTGATCCCTCTTCCAGCAGCTGAGGAGCTAAGGGTGCAGGAAGCAAGCTGGAGGTTGCAGAGCTTCCTACAGTTGGGGGAGAAATCGGGGGGTGGGTCTGACACAGGCCTGGATGCTGGGCAGGGGAAGAGGAAGTCCTGTCTTCCCCAGCCCAGCTGGGACTAACAGCTCAGCCTGGCACAGGGGAGGAGGCACTAGTCTGGTTTTCTTCAGTCCCGCTCCCTGCCCCACAGTGATTTACCTTGCTGCCGGCTTCCCTGGGCTCCCAAAACATACTGCTGGGGAGGGTCGCATGACTGCTCTTGTGGCTTCCTGGTCAGAAAATCATTTTTCTGTAGGGAAGCAAAGAAATCTGCAGGGGAAAAATTCTGCATATGCACAGTGGTGCAGAATTCCCTCACACTCCCCACTGAGTGTCTTCTTGGGGCTAACCCAGTATGGCTCTGAGGATCTCTGCTTTTTTGTGTTTGTTTCTTAGCTCCAGCCCTTCTAAGAGTCCAAACAGCAAAGAGCGGACATGAAAATATTTTTATCTGTCTTTATTTCCCCTCTTCCAGAGTTTGAGCTGATGGGATGTGCTTTCTCTCATGGTAGCACCTTCCTGGGTGTAAGAGGACCATTAAACCAGCCTTTGTGTTGCGATGTTCCACAGTGACCCACTTAGTCTTGATAGTTCTGGATGGGAAAGGGAACCACTTTTCCTGCTTAGGTTCACAAGTTCAGAGCAGGCATTTTTACAATTATAAAGCAAAATGGACATATCTTGTAATGCCTTATACAGACATTACAAGTAAGATTAATGCATGCAGCAATTTCTAAGCATACATCTGATGAAGTGAGCTGTAGCTCACGAAAGCTCATGCTCAAATAAATTGGTTAGTCTCTAAGGTGCCACAAGTACTCCTTTTCTTTTTACAGAATTTAAAGACATTCTTACAAATTCAGCACCGATCTTGAACAATATTAAACACACAGGCAGGTTGGTCTAGTTTCCAGCTATGAATTTGTCAAAGGTCAGCTGACACTCGCAGACTTGGAAGAGCTGGCAGCTAATTTACTGACATCACTCCCAACAAGCCCATTCTGAACTTTCCCCATGGTGCATTTCCCCTGTTGACTAATTGTTTTGCTAGTTTATTTATTTAATAATGAAATCAGGAATCGCTTCATGCTGGGGTTTTTATTATTAAAAAACTAAGCACCATGACAGGTTTCAGAGTAGCAGCCGTGTTAGTCTGTATCCGCAAGAAAAGGAGTACTTGTGGCATCCTTAGAGGCTAACAAATTTATTTGAGCATAAGCTTTTGATGAAGTGAGCTGTAGCCACAAGTACTCCTTCTCTTTCTAACCACCATGGTACTGACAAGCTGTTCCTGCTG